ACATATGTGGTATATGCACGCACAGGACACCGATACGGACGCGCGCATGGAGAAACTGCTTTTACGCACGGGCTGTATATGGACAACTTACATCTAGTATGAGAAGAAGCATTTCTACTACCATAACAATGTAGTGCATTTTTATACTTTATTATAATATATAGAAGGAAATAAAATTGCAAAGGGGAGTTTTACATAGAGGAGTGATTGAGGTTTTATCGTGTTTCTCGTGTTTGGCCCAATCAACCCAGCTATAATAGGCTTTTATAAATATATTTCTTATTTGAATATTGCGTTTATGAAGAGCCAGGTTATACACATAGTATCTTATTATTTTGTGGGGAATAACAATAAAGTGCATCTCTCATGTTTAGGTTTAAATATCCTTTATTAATAACGCTAATTTAGATCTTTGCTGATTAACTGATCAATGTTATCATCAGAATCACAGTTTAGATTTGGGATATTTAGACACATTTTAAGTGGGTATGCGCTTGTGTGTGTGTGTGTGTGTGTGTGTGTGTGTGTATGTGTATGTGTATGTGTATGTGTGTGAGAAAGAGGCCTTTGAAGCTATAGCCCACTGTATGGACCTAAGGCACATAATGACGTTTATTTGAGCTTATATCAGCGAGGGGTTGGGGTCAGCGAGACGTGCTTTTCAAATCCAATTAAATTATTTGTTTACTGCCCAAGTCACTACAGTGCGCTACTTTGCGCCATAGTCGATTTATGATGAATTATGAAATCATTGAACTGTTATTCGTGTATTGAATTACGAGCAGATTGAACTATGCTTATGGGATTTCATGGATGACTCAAACTACAACTTTCAATGCAGAGGAATACTCACTAATCAGTAATTACAATACAATTATGCAAATGCTCAGATGATTTAGGCAACTTGGCAACTCCAGCCTATAACATTATAATATATTTCGCAGGACAACTAAGCATAACAAGTGTTTCTCCGTCTGTAATCTTTAGTCCAACAAATAGAAAATATCATATCCCATAAAAATTACACAAGTACAAGTCTACACAGTCAACTCATCTTCTTCCCTAAAATATTTGTCTAGTTTTAACAGATTATATTTTGTCTTGTTTGAAGCACAGACGTCTCAGAAAACGCCATTCTCAGACAGAAAATCGTCTGAAAACAACTATTTCTGCTCATATTGTTGTTGTTTTTTGCTTTCGTTTGCTCTGTAGAGCAGCGTGTTGACGACTCGGGTAATGAGAAAAGAAATTCGGGCCAAAAAAGGGGTAAATATATGTGGGCCCCTTCGCTGACAGCTGGTTCCAACAATCTGTTCTGCCAAAGATTTATCTCCGCCACCAGAGCACAGAGGCGCGCCGCGTACTGGCCAAGGACGCACGCATCCAAGGGCGCGCTCCATGGCTTTTACGCACGGGGTTTTACGCATTTAAAATCTAACTTATAGTGTAGTTTCTCTTATGTTTTGTTGTGTGATTTATTTCGCTTTTTAGTAGTAATAGGAGTAGCATAGCAGTTAAATTACACAGGGAAGTGTATGAAGTTAATGAGAATACGCTTTCTCTATTTCTTTTATTGGATAAACATGTCTATACAAAAATGCAATATAATCACTTTTTAAATACTTTTTTGTTAAATTTTAACTTTCAGTCGCAGCTCTTTATGGATGCATCTGTTTACCATAATGTATTAGGCCTATTCAATTATAAAATGCATATTATTAAACATAATATACATTAAATAAACGAAGACATCATCAATGATTCGAGTAAATTAAAATCGATTTATTACTACACAATTCATCTGTATTAAGGCATTTTTCTCTGTTATGCTCCCAGTTTTATTAGGTTGACAACATGTGGAGGAATATAGAATTATTAGGCCTCCTTTATCTCCGTCAATGGCAGCAGTCACAACATAATCATGCTTTGTATTACATTCTGGACCTTTTTTCCCATGAAGTGCGATTCATCGTGAAGACCACTCTCTGTCACTGACACTTTCAGATTAGGTCATAGATTAGATCATTAGAGTGCGTATTGAGCTGCAATAATTAATGGAATTTTGTTTGTTTGTTTAGTTTTTAGTCTTTTGACCAAAATAATGTATGGTTTTATTTAAGATGACATCATCATGCACAATGAACACAGCTGTATTTAAAGATATGAACAGATTATTTGCTCTCCAGTTTGAAGCTCTAAACGCACCTTTAGTTGTTTAGCAGCGCCTCCCAGTGGACAGCACCGGGAACACCGTGAAGTGTGCTGCTGCAGCTGCTGAACCAGTGTTTGAATGAATTCAATCATATTTCTACATTTCCTCACACCGTAGATCCACCGTAGATGGAGAACAAGAGAAAAAAAATCTTGAAATACAAATTAATCAACAGTTATATCTATGTTCTATTCCAAATTAAGGCAAGGCAGGTTCACTTCAGTATTCAAACATAATTATAACTCAAAGTGCTTTACAAAAGAAAACATTAGAATCAAACACTAGGTATAATCAATGACAGTTTAAGGATAAATATGAAAGATAAAGTATGCAAACGCTTCATGGCAGATGTAAAGAGTATAAAAGTGTTGGCAAGAAAAATGGTTGGTGGCTGCAATTAGCAAATCGCAAAGGCTCCAATTATTCAAGTGCTTTGAAAATAACTCAGTCTTATTTAGTCTCAAAGCAGCTCTGTAGTTGAGGTCACTACATGTCCTGCATGCATGAATCTTTTTAAAAAGTGTGTTTTTTATATATATATATATATATATATATATATATATATATATATATATATATATCTGTACATAGAGAAAATGGGTAAATTATGCTATCTATATTTTTCCCATACGTTGTCGTAACCAAATCAAAGAATCTCCAATTATTTAAAAAAAAAAAAAAAACTGTTCAATTCACAAATATTGAAGCAACTACAGAAATCAAGCATCTAATAAAACTCACATTTAGACGTCAAAATAGTCCTAATTTCCTCTTATTTGTCACATGGGACGTGAACCGTTGTTTGTATTGGATCTTGTCTCTGTTCATTCCATTAAATTGTGTTAGCTACAAAAACAAAACTGTAGTCGTTATATGATAGATGATAAGACGCATTCTCATGCAGCTTCTTGGGAGTTCCCTTCTACAAAGCACTCACACAAATCATAGGAAATAGTAAAACATACAGACTTTTATGAAGAGAAATGAACCAAGTGGGAACACACTATGTAAAGCGTTATAATAGTGTGTTCACATCAAAAGTAGAGTTCAAATGTGTTCAAAAGAATGTATTGGCACCTACAAAAAACAGTGATTAAATAAACTTAAAGGTATGTAAACTTTGAATACAGATTGCAATGTGTGTGAGAAAGCAGTAAACTAGTAAAACGTCTCATTTGGTGAACGCCTGAAAAGAAATCTGTGAGTATAATGAAACAGTTATAGGATCCCCAGTTTGTTTTAAGAAGTGCTTTGAAGTATGTAGTGTTGACTTTTACTGTAGACAAACATAAAATAAATTAAAAATGTGTTGTGAGAAAGAGTCGAGTCGCTTTTTTCAGCTGATGTGAAAAAACTGATTCAGGCTTTTGAATTCTACCGATGTTAAAGAGGAGCACACTGTTGCGACGCATGGGAACTACAACAGTTTTAGGGATTTGAACAGCCACAAACTGCTTACAAACTGTGGAATAATCCTGATTTGATCCTGTTTGAATTCTACTACATAATAGATATTGTGACTTTGGTTGTGTCGTGTTTGTTTGTTTGTTTAAGAATATCTCTCCCTGCTTTTTATATAACAATAATACATTTCATTTCTTGGACACCTCTTAAGACACTCCACGTCGCTTAAATACATCAAGAACTTTAATTTACAGTACATTTCATACCAGTTTTATTTGATTTGATACTGTACTTTAGGTTGCAACATAGCAGCAGATACATTTCATTTCATTTCATTTTTATTTTTGGATTTGGAGGGCACAAGGCTGCTGGCCAATGTGAGAAACAAAATCAAGTCTCTTTAAACCAACACATTTTGAATTGACTATTTATTTTGATCAGAAGGATTATCAGGGGACAGCAGCAGAGGTGTGAGTTTGCTGAAGATTTTAGAAATATTTCTGTATGTATTCTGTCCATTTGAACTATTACGACTAATTTCTTGTATATTTCTAATCTTGAGTTATTTGTGAATAAATGCTTTTGCCACGATTCTTGAGGAATGTCTTCAGTGGTCATCTGCAGCCTCATGGTGTCTGTAATGATAACTTCATTTGCGGATTAGTTTACCTGGCGATGGTTCTTTCGATGCATTCATGAGCTGCTTGATCTGGAAAATGCCACAATATTGGATTTTTAAATGAAACGTGACCAAGACTCTGCCAAACATCTATTAGAACAGATATTTGAAAGTTTATGTATTGAATGCCATACAGACCAACAATGTAATAAAGTTTATAAAAATGTTTGTTCAAGATTAAAAGATCTTTTTTTGTCAGTGTTGCATCACAGGTTACAGAACAGTAGGAATGAGGGGCACACAAATATAAAATAATACAATACACAATATTTAAGTATAGCACAACCCTATACAAATAAAATAATCTTTATCTTAAGCTTAAGAAAAATCCAAGTTTAAACTGTACATATAAAGTCTAGCGCAAAGAACGATATGCTTGTATGTAATATATTAATATTTATTGGTTGGAATCACACACAGTTAGATATAGTCTTCAATTAGAAGCAGATGGATGATAGATAGAAACATTTATAATTTAATCTAACTAACAAACAAATAATTATTAGATTCAGATAGATCTGTTGTACAGTCTTGCATAACCTCTGCGTCTATGTTTTAAAGGTGTATGGCTATGTACTGTATGTCATTGCCATACTAATCATTTTAGAATGATAATGGCAACAATAATTTTAAATGAGAAGGAAGAACCATTGTGTCTTGTGTGTGTCGCCTGTGTGTGACCGCTGCTTGTTGTCTGCAGCTGCCATGGAGGAGTGCGGCTCTCAGAAGCTGTCCTGGGACGGCGAGGCCAAAGCCGTGCAGCAGTGTCTGACGGACATCTTCACCAGCGTCTACACCACCTGCGACGTTCCCGAGAGCGCCATCTTTGGGCCCTGTGTCCTGTCGCACACCTCGCTCTACGACAGCATCGCCTTCATCGCACTCAAGGCCACCGACAAGAGGACCGCGCCGTACATATTCAGAGTGAGTCTCACAAAACAGATCAGGGAGCTGGGTTTGAGGGAGGACAGTCCTGGTTCAGTCCTGGTTCAAACCTGGTTCAGTCTTGGGTACCTTCTGGATTAGAGTTGGAAATGTAAATCATACAGGTGAAAGTGAAAATGTATTTATTTCTATAATTCAATCCAAATTGTGAAAGAAATGATAGATACTTTATGTTATATGTAGTGAGTTTTTAATGTAGTGATATTAATTGTAGTGAGTATATAATTAATATTTTTGACAAATTAAGGCTTAATATACCTTATAATAAATGACATTTGAACCAACTTTCAGTTTTACCTGTATTTTGTGTCAGGGTTAATAGTGCAAGACAAGTATACTTATATACTCATCAACAATCAAAACTCTTCAAACAAAATCCATGCTGTGATCTGTCTTCATCACCATCATACACATAGACCTACTGCATATTTTTTTTAGACACTTTTTTGAAAGTGTAAGCTTCAAACTTATCAAGAGCATTACATTATATAGTATTCACATTTAGACAAAGTCATGCTCCTATCCCTGTCCACATATTCTTTTGGAACATGTTGTATAGTGTAAACACCTCAGTTAACAATTTAATTCTGAAAAATGTGAAGAGAGTGGAGAGGGTAGTTCAATTTCGACTATTGTGTGACGTGACCTCTCTGACCTTACTAACCGCCACTCTCCGCAGGTGGACACGTCGGCCGCCAGCAGCACCGCCGAGGGCCTGATGTGGCTGCGTCTGGTGCAGTCGTCGCGGGACAAGGAGGAGCAGAACCTGGAGGCCTACGTGAAGAACGGACAGCTCTTTTACCGGAGTCTGCGGCGCATCGAGAAGGACGAGGAGCTGCTGGTGTGGTACGGCAAAGAGCTGACCGAGCTGCTGCTGCTGAGCGCCTCCAGAGCGCCCCCCAAAGGCAAAGGTGAGTCCTGTTTGATTGCCTTGGGATTGTTTTGGTTCTCAGTAATCATTTTTTGCAAGCAAAATTGGGCATATTTACAACCAAAGATGCTTGTTCTAATGACAAATCTGCCAAATAAACTCAAATTCAGAGAAATGTTCCAAAACTCAAATGATTCACTTCTCATCTTTAGTCCTTTTTTATTTGCAAAGAACTTAAAGGTGTATAGGAAGAATTTCAACTTCCGGGTGGATCATCAAGTTTATTGTATCACCAGAATAATTCTCCATCATTCTGGTGATACAAACAAGACCAGAGACTGGAGAGGGTAGTTCTTTCCTAAAATTTGGGGAAGTCCTCCTATATACCTTTGATTAATTGCTGTCTTTGTCGTTGGCTAATTTCAATGTGTGATTAACGGTGCAGGCCTATAACTCATGGTGCATTTCTTTTCCAGGCTCCAGTCACTACGTTTGCCCGGACTGCAACCAACGATTCCAGTTCGAGTTCCCATACCTGGCCCACCTCCGCTTCCGCTGCACCAAAAGACTGCAAAACCTGAGCGCGGCGGAGGAGGACGGGCCCAAAGAGGGGAGTCCGGAACGTCTACCCAGCAATTCAACCGCCAACTCAACTACCAACCACCCGTCACGCTCCAGCCCCAACCCCAACCCCAAACTGGGCCGCTCCGAAAGCCACCCAGACAGCTCCAAGCCATCCACGGACTTCCATAACTTAGCACGGGACTTAGAGAACAACCGCACCAGCCCGCCCAGCGACAAAGAAGCCGAAATCTGCAGCGAAAGTTCCGGAAAAAGAAAGTTTTCCGAAATCGATGAGAGCAGAGAGCGGGTGGCCGTAGGGGCTGGTTTGTCCAAATCCAAAGAGGAGCTTGCCACGTCTGCGCAGAATTACCGGGGCGCGTATAGCCTGGAGGACAGAGATTTCACGCCGCCCCCGCCAGGAGAGGCACCGGCCAAACGGAGCGCTTTTACGGAAGTGAAAAAGTCCCCGCAGAGTCTCAAGCACCACAGCAAGAACTCAGAAAACAAGGAAGGGGCGCGGCCCACGGGAAGCTCGCCAACGGAGAAGCATCTCACCATACGGCAGGTAAAGGCCGTTTGTTAGAATAAAACAAAAACTAATGGCCCATATTCTCTCACATGTCACATTATATTTTGCATCATTTACCCCGTAGCACCCTTGGTTACAAATATGCAACATGAAGTTAAATGGTTTCAAGAAATATAACTTTTTGGTTTAATGCATCAACTAATGTCGGTAAGTTGATGCAGTAACTAACCTACACGAACCCAAAGAAGCAAATTGGCAACATTGTGAAATTGGGTCATTAAACGCTTCTTTCAACAACAACAAAAGCACGGATACATTTTTACAACAAAAAATGTTTTGGGTTCTATGAGGTTAGAAAGCTCTTACGCAATGTGTTCCAGTCGTGAGGAGTACTTATTTCAAAAGAAAATTATGAGCAACATTACTTAGTAATAGTGCCCACCTCAAATCTGTTTGGTTCTATCACTAGTTTTCAAACGCTTGTATTTTTGGCCTCATCTTTAGATCAGCTGGTGAAAAAGAGAAGACTAAACCAATCATCTCTCAGTATGTATAAGATAACATGTTTTTAAATATGATAAATAAAAGAACTAAGGCAAGGCAAGTTTGTTTGTATAGCACAATTCATACACAAGACAACTCAAAGTGCTTCACAAAACAAGATACAAACAGTCACACAAGGCATTCAAATCATAAATGATGATATAAAACAGGGTAAAGATAAAATCCCTCAGTTGTGTGCACCGCTAAACTGTTGTATCTGGATTTGAACACTGTCAGAGAAGAAGCCTGTCTCACATTTTCAAGATGACAGTTTTAGATTTTAGTTGCATAAATTTCAAATACTGGCTCCCCATGTAAAACAGAATTTAATTGTCGGATTTGTCCACAAAATATTACTTAAACACGACTCTGGCTGTTGGAACAAACAATATGTATTGATGAAACAAACAGTGAGGTTTTCCAGCTTTAAAAACACTCTTTTTTTTCCAAATCATGAGCAAACCCACCGTGCTCACCTCCACGTTCCTCTCCCTCAGGTGCTCTCGGAGACCCAGCCGCCGCAGACCCCTCCCATGGGCAGCGCCTTCACGTCGGTGGGTCAGCAGGGTGGCGGGGAGCGGAAGAGTGCGTTCAGCCAGCCCTCGCGCTCCTCCTTCTCACAGATGTCGTCTCTGGTGATGGCGCCCAAGCTGCTGGACTGTCACCCGGCCGTGGGCGACACCATCTCCTCCAGCCGACTGTACCAGGCCGACCACTTAGCCGCCAAACTGCAGGGGGCCGAGCTGGGAGCCAACTGCCCTGTGCCTGGAGGTAAGAAGCCCTCCTGCCACAAGCGCCGCATCCACTCCAGTGAATAACAGCTGGATCCATACACACTGTCTGTCCAAATACCTTGAGCTTTAAATACAGCCGTGTTTCAACAAAAAAAAAAAAAAAGATTCTGCAATGTCACACTATTCATTTGCATCCAGTGCAGCATTTGTCACTGAGATCTGAGATTATTGGTGATGATGCAAGACATTCAACGACATTAATGATCATCAATTAATAATCAATTAATGTACATTGGTCATCTGCCCCTTCTGCTCCGATGACTCTGTGTGTTTTGTTTATTATTATTGTGTTTGAATTGTTTGGTTCACTGATTGGTGTTAGCGAATCCTAAAAATCCTTCGAGATAACTGCTATTGTGATTTAGGGCTATATAAAAGTTAATTTAATTTAATTTAATTAATGATGAGAGATTGGGACCACAATGCTAAGCTACAGCAGTGGTTCCCAACCTCTTTTGCCTTGGGTAGCCTTTGCCAGCATATTGTTAGGTCTGAATACAATCATTCACGTATGCCAAACTTTTTGAAGCCCTCATTTTTACAGCATCAATATGTATATATATTTTTTCGTATTCAACCTTTATTTTACCGGAAAAGTCCTAGATAAAGACTCCGTTTTCCAAGGGAGACCTGGACAAGAGGCATTGTTAGTTATTATTAGTATTGAATTAATTATTCTTGAATTAGTCCCAGTCAGAAATGGGTCTTTCTGAGGTTTCGTCTGGGTGCTTAGGTTTCCCCTACCACTAAAAACATGCACAATAGGTAAAATCCTCCAACGACCACTGCTCCTGACAGATACCCTAGTGGCATCAGGATGGGTCAAATGCAGAGGATAAAAGATCAATGGGGATAAATAAAGTGCACCTTACCTTAGTCCCACCGTGGGGAAATCCATTCATTTGCACTTTATTCAATACTGTCTTGTTGTCGCAGGTTTACCGGGAGGAGGAGGTGGAGGCTCCATGTCCAAGCAGAACCCTTTTGTCTACGCTACCACCTTCTGGCCCAAGAACACGGGTCCCATCCAGCTGCAGATGCCGTCGGCGCTGACGCTGTTGCCGCCCTCCTTCACCTCGCTGTGTTTGCCCGCTCAGAACTGGTGCGCCAAGTGCAACGCCTCCTTCCGCATGACCTCGGACCTGGTTTACCACATGCGCTCGCACCACAAGAAGGAGTACGCCATGGAGCCGCTGGTCAAGAGGCGCCGGGAGGAGAAGCTCAAGTGTCCCATCTGCAACGAGTCGTTCCGGGAGAGGCATCACCTGTCGCGTCACATGACCTCGCACAACTGAGGCCGTGGCGTGCGCTTGGCCACGGTGTGTTGTGGCCGCGGCGTGCGCTAGGCTATAGTGTGAGCGCTCGCAGGACTGAGGCTAAAAGACTCACGAGGACTCCGCCTACACCACCGCACCGCGCACGCTCATTCCACGGTCATTCCACTGTTTGAGTCAGGATAAGGTTGGAGTCGTACCAGTTTGGCAGATCTCAGAAGCTAAGCAGTGCAAGGCTTGGTTAGTACTTGGATGGGAGACAGCTGGTACCACGATAGATTTTTTTCATACTGCAGAGCCTTGTGAGACAGCCGTTTGTTCAAAGTGCGAACAGTTATTGTGTCCTTAGGCAAGACACATCAGCATTGTCTAGTGTGAATTGGGAGTGGGGGAGGTGATGGTGGAGATTGGCAGCCTTACTTCTGTCAGTCTGCCACAGGACAGCTCTGGCAACAGTGTATTTGGACACTCAAAGACCCTTATTTAAAGCTGAGACATCTAAATACAGTTTTGTTTTGTCCAAAGAGAACAAATCAGATCACAAGATTGCCGTTATCTTATTAGAAAACATTGTATATTTTGCGTATTCCTGAGAAAAAGCCCCGTCAGTCACTATTTGACAGTTTGGGCGGAGTGAGCTGTCTGAAAAGGCTGATATAAATCTATGACAGGAGCCAAAAAATACAGGCATGTAACACCTTTTGATAGAAAAAAAATGGTTTTAATAGCAAGGAACGAGATCGATGAATAATAACATGGATATTTTTCGTGCTTTGAAATGAGCTAATCCCGCAGCTACAAGTAATGTGTCTTTGAGTGTCAAAAAAGCGCTAGATCAAATGTATGTATTATCATGAAAATGGTGGGGTCACTGGTTTTGACTGGGAAAGAGGGTCGGTATAGATGCAAATAAGACAAAATACTATATGAATTCTTTACTGTGCCATTTTTGTAAATTGAGGTTTGTATGGCGCTATGTTGTTTTTGACCCAGAGATGGAAATAAATATTCACTCAGATTCTGTCAATGACTCAAACTGTGGAATGACACCCTTTGCACTTCACTTTTGGGAGAGTGGGTGTGTTTCATGAGGCAGAATGGACCCACTGTAAAAACAACCTATTGAGACTATGGTTATGGCTTTAGACATTTGATAAAAACTTTGTAATGGAATGAAATGCAGTAGAAGCAGTAGTGAAGGACGATTACCAAAAACAGTCACACTTTGGTCCTAATCTCGCTTCATGAATCCATCCACTCGTGCTCGAACTCTGGCTCGCTCTTGTCCTCTTTGTACATAATGTTTTTTCGGGTCTGTTTGCAAATGCGTTTTTTGAGAAATTTGAAATCTATTTATTGAAGCACCTACGAACATGTTTGACGATACGTGACTTTAACCTTGTATTTATTGTACAGTGAGCATATGAGAGTGCATGTCTTCATATCTATTCACTTGTACATAATCCGCTTTGCTCATATTTTGTGTCTGTTGGGAATAGTTTCTGTGATTTTCATAGTTTATCCAATCATGTTGAATGCATTGACAATAAAAAAAAATAGCTTTATTTTCAACGGAAATCTGTCTTTGTGTGTTCTCTTTTGCTTTTCCTGGATGAAAAATAATATAATTTACAGCAGTTGATGCAACCAGGTCAAGTTACATGTCAAACCTCTAAAGAGGGAAGGTTGCTCATATAATAATAAAGAATGCATCAAATGATAATACACTTAAAATGGAGTCTTACACTCTGGTAGAAGTATTTCATGTTGGTGTTAAAGTACAGAAAAAAAACAGTAAAAAAGTGAAAATGATAGTGTGATACTTAAAATACTTCATCAGTAGCACTGGGGCTGAACCATTTTGGCCAATTATCAATACTGTATTTGCTCTTACCTTTCCTGAGCTGGAGATCACTGGACAATCTGGTGGTAGAGCATTATTTAAAGTGTGAAAAAAGGTCACGTAATCTAAATGAATATAGATAAAATAAATGTACATGTGTAGCTTGATTAAGTTATTAAAAGTAAATGTATTGATTTCAATCTTTTAACAAGTTCACAAATGCTTATGGAGGTTGAAACATTTTCTCAATTCACTTTTTAACATTGAGGTATAAAACAGATTCTCATTGAACCAATCAAATCTGATGAGACCAAGACAGAGGTATTGATGCATGAAAAAGATTTATTTGTTTGGCGCATTGACCCCGGCAGTGACACTTGCAGAGGGAAGATCATTTGCTGCTGTAGCAATGGTGTAGGTTTGGTTCCAATCTTGGTGGGGACATTCACTACGACCTGAGTCTACACCCATTGACACGGGGTCCAGAGTTTCTCCCCCAGAATTTGTTGTGTAATCACACACTATATTTGCAATAGTGTGTTGCCTTCTATACTAAACTCAGCTGTAGACTGAATGAGAAGCAGTTAAGGATTTTTTCTAATAGTTAAAACAAAATCAATTGGATCAGAGCTTCTGAGTTTTGTGTTGTGTTCATTCTATACTGGCTTAAACCTAATCCAAATCTACATAATAGCCCTCACCTGAGGCTCTAACAGTTCAGGAACTGCTCTCAATACTTGAAATAAATCATGCTCTGATCTTTCAATTTCCTATAATAAATAAAAACAGAGGAGAAAATATTGAATTAGAATCTACAGTGAGTAGCTCACTACATTGTTTGACATATACGATCAATCTCTAAAAACAATTCATAGTCCCATGCATACCTACAAAATTCCAACCTCACCTGATGCACTGAAGGGCCTGTTGCTTCTACCTCAACATTCCCTATATTGTTCTCTCTTGTTGGTTGAGTTTCCTATGTATGTTAACAGAAGATTAATCATCACAATTCATAATTTGCTATTACAGTACTTGTGCTTTCTCTTACTTACTTTCCAACTGTTAAAAAAGCTCCTGATATCTTTTATCTTTTTTTGTGGAGGTGGCATTTTTTCTAAATTATATAAGAAGGTATAGACAATCAAAAACAGACATTCATATACATGAACTGCAGAATAATTTATATGACTTGGCCAATGTCAAAAGTTACATAGTATTTCTCAATACAATGAGTTAACAAGAGTTTGGCAATAAGTAACAGTGTGGATTTTTCTATATTTTCTTTTTTTTTATTCCACTCTCAACCCAAAAAGGCAAGTAATGACTCACAGGGCTCTCAAGTATGCAAAATAAAAACTTAAATGACCTGTTGTGGTGTGTTTTGCGCACAACCAGCATGCATCGTTAACGCAATGGAAAATTTACGTATCCGAGCTTTAATTTCGGGAGCGCTGGTTGCGCTTTGGGAAGAGTCAGGGGAGAGACATGTCAGAGACACAGGGGAGAAACGGGGGAGATACGAGGGAGACCCGCACTTGCAACATGGTTCTGTCTGCATATGGTCCGAGCTCGGTACCATGTTAGAGCTGTGCTTTCACTGAGCGCCGCGGCTGTCATTACAAAGCGGCAGCAGCTGCACCAGGACGTGCACATTCGAGTGCATCGCTTGAATGTGCTTAGAGCAGAAGTGCCCGCTGTCACACATTTCACAGAAATTACATTATCAGCAGATAAAGGTTGTAAATCGTGGATCCGTGGAATATTTTCATCCCTAGTTTATCCTGATTCACACAACACACCCACTCATACATTTTGGATAATAAGAGCACAATAAGTATTTTTTCAGCCTTTCAACCAACCTGTTTCTTTATTGGAGCCAGTTCTGTTCTGTCTCTGTGCCGTGTGAGCTCCTCGGAACATTAAACAGTGCGCTGACAGATTAGAAATAACGTAAGTACTTTGAATGGTAATAGATCTACAGTACTTTCCTCTGATTACTCACGTGCTACAACGCTCAGGGAACGAAAAAAAACACTTGCTTCACGCTGGCTAACTTTAAAAAATTAAACAGTCGCTCAGTGCTTCAGTTTGGCGCTGAAGAAGACAGCCAATCACTGCAGAGAACGGAACGGGTCACGTGCTGCTGCTGCTGCTGTTGCTCTGGAGGCGAGGAGGAGGCGCGACGTATGCACAAACGGAAGACATGTGTCCCGGACCGTCCGGGTCACGGGACATCATGTCATTTTGGTGGGGACTTTTTAGTCCTCACCAAATATTGGTGGGGACATGTCCCCATGGTCCCCACGCAAACCTACGCCCTTGTGCTGTAGATGATCTCAGATACCCCGGGGTCTGGCTGGACCAATTTATATATTATACATATGAACTGTTCCGGATGCCTCCTGGACGCCTCCCTGGGGAGGTGTTCCGGGCACGTCCCACTAGGAGGAGGCCCCGGGGAAGACCTAGGACACGCTGGAGGGACTATGTCTCTCAGCTGGCCTGGGAACGCCTTGGGGTCCCCCCGGACGAGCTGGAGGAAGTGTGTGTGGATAGGGAAGTCTGGGCGTCTCTGCTTAGACTGCTGCCCCCGCGACCCGGCAACGGATGAAGAGGAGGAAAACGGACGGACGGACGGACATATGAACTGAAAGGAAGAATGTGGATTTGTTTCTGTCGGTCTGGGCTTCTGCACTAAAAGATAAAGAAGAAAATAAATTTCAGAAAATGTGTGGTACGGGTTGAACAGGCTGTTTTACAGTGTTTTTTTTTTTTGGTAATGATTTCAGCTAAGTAAGATTTAGATTCTAGAACAATTAATCTTGGAGCCACGACCCAGCTACAACTATCAAGACCCTCTATTTCAGTAGAGGGTCTTATCTTGATAATAATAAAATTATTGTTTTATCTGGTTTTAACTGTAGATTGAGATTGTCATTGATAATCACCTTGATGATTCCATAGTAATAAGTATAAAACCATAGCCAACCCTTCTCCTACTGGGTTTTTAGTTTTCCCTTACAGATGCAGAAGATGATCCATGACACTCCATGTTCAACTACATTATTGGACTGTATCATCATTTATGGACATTGGTCCTCTTCCCCGTATGGACCAATGTGTTTTTTATCATTTCATTTCTTGTGTTTGATTCTATCAGGTTTGGAGCGTTGCAATCTATGAGCTAGACATGTAGGGCGCCAACCAATCAAGAGACAGTATCGATAGGGTGACGCAATGACGCATTTCACGTACATGATGAATCCGGTAGAAGCGGGAAAATAGCATATTTGGGAAAAATGGAAGAGGAGCTAACAGTTTCGTTGAGTGATCGCCCTGAACTATTTGCGGTGTCCAGAAAGTTATACAGGGACAGGAGGAGGAAGGACCATGCTTGGAAGAGGATAAGCGAGGAGATCGGATACGATGGTAAGTTATCAAAAAAAACAAAAAAAACATCACTGAACTTCACGTCAAGTCCGGTCTGGAGTCGAACAATGTACAGTCGCTCACAAGCCGATTTGTTCATATATTATAGAGAAATAAATCAAAACGATGTGGAAGAGCCTGAGGGACAGGTAAGGAGAGAATACGGAGTGGTGCATTAGCAGGGACAGTGACGAGGTGGAAGCACTCGCTCTCCTCCCTTGACCCCTTCATCCCAGCGCCAAGGGCCGAGGAGGAGAACCCAGAGTACGACCACCTCCAAGTGCAAGACCAGCAACACCAGGAGCAGCAGGAGGGCTGTAAGCTAAAAAAACAATGGATGGAAAGAAGTCATGCTGCTGCTCGCTTTGCTCTTTTGTTGTCATTAGTGTTATTATTAGCAATATTTTTTGCATGAGTAGTAGCGAGTAACAACATCAATGTACACATGCTGTGAAGTAAAAGTAATTTATTTAATGACAGAACAAGCTGGCACTGAGTCTGGCTCAGATACCGAGCCAACTGCTGGTGCTGAACCACCCTCTGCTCCTGGACCGTCCTCTGTTCCGGGACCGTCCTCTGCTCCTGGACCGTCCTCTGCTCCGGGACCGTCCTCTGCTTCTGGACCGTCCTCTGCTCCGGGACCGTCCTCTGCTCCGGGACCGCCCTCTGCTCCGGGACCGTCCTCTGCTCCGGGACCGTCCTCTGCTCCGGGACCGCCCTCTGCTCCTGGACCGTCCTCTGCTTCTGGTTCTTCGGTGCAGGCTGGCCGTTCCCCTGCTGCTGCTGCACCTACAGGTGTGTAGGGATTCAATTAGAAAGTATAAACATTTTAAATTCAACCCTATTAAACCAATTAAACCACACCATAAATATTTTTGAATACGTGGTTGGGCCTATTAAATACAGATTTTACAGATAATCTAGTTATTCAATTTGACAAAAGTAAAGGATTTAAAAGTTGTTCATATATTATCAAATCCTACACACTCATGACTTTATCTTTTTTAATTCATTGTCCTGTAGGGTTTGCAGGTCCACAAAGGAAGCGAGGGGAGACCTGCACCCGGGAGCCAACACGCTTGGAGCTGGAGCTGTTGGCCTACCTGCAGCGGACCAGTGCTCCTGCTCCTACTCCGTGCTCTCTTAATGAGCTCTTCCTCCGCTCTCTGCTTCCTCTCCTGGAAAAGGTGCCACCTCAGTCGTTAGACTTTGTAAAATTTCAAATGCACAAATTACTGTATGAGAGCAGCACTTTTTCGCTGTATTTGGAACCATTGGAGCATAATTAGTAGTATTTCACTATGAGGTGGCTTCTTTTGCAGGGGAGGAAACCGACTTTCTTTTCCTGTATGTTCTATACTCTGTACATAATTTTTATTTTTTTATTAAAACTAGATTATATAAAATATATATATATATATATATATATATATAACTTTAAACACTTGCATAGACAACCATGTGGATGGTGCAAGTAGCTTTGTGATTCTTGTCTGTATAAGTCATATACGTTTATTTGAAATGGGAAAATATTATATAATGGTGCCAGAAAAATACATCGACCCATAAATTAACCCAAGAAAAGATATGCGAAAATTGCTTAAGTGCAGTACTTAAAATACATAATTAAAGTATATCATACTTCCATCAAGAATTTCAAGGACAATAATGAGCCAATGGCGTCATCGTGTGGACATATGCTGAATTACATCTGCATACAAAACCTGTCGCACGCTGGTGGCGTCCAGAAGTGACGTTTGGTCAGTGTGTTTACCGTCAACACTGGCTGAACAGGTCCCGGTGGCTTGTGCGTTTGGAAAGCATTCTCTGCTGAGGATAGAAGCCATGGGCGCGCTCCCGGTGCAGCCTTTTTGTATCAGTGCTGAAGACGAAGAGCTTTCAATTCATATTAAAGGAGCTCTTTATGCATCGTAAGCTGTAATATGTCTATGCGTCCTTAAACCACGAGAATGGTAAAATCATTCATTGGCTGCATCCAAAATGTATGGATATTTTTCAACATGTGTTCTATACAATACAATTTATTCTTGTATAGCCCTAGGTCACAACAGAAGTCATCTCAGAGTACTTAACAAAACCATTGAAATCACCAACACAGGTCAGAGAATCAACAGTTAACACATGGAGAATATAAAGCACACACAGAAGAAAATGTCCATACATGTTGTAGAATGCTAAAGTGTCCTGAGATTATATATATATATATATATATATATATATATATATATATATATAAACTTTGTGTCTTAACTGTTGATTCTCTGATCTGTGTTGGTGATTTCAATGGTTTTGTTAAGTCCTCTGAGATCACTTCTGTTGTGACCTAGGGCTATACAAGAATAAATTGTATTGTATTGTAACATCAGCAGAATACCTCTTTTTAGAAAGATCCTTTCCTTTTAATGAGATGGGTAGCTTCAGATTTGGTTGAGAGAAGGTAAACACTTTTATAGAGGTTAGAGGGCTTATTGTGACTGCATTATTCATGTTAAACTCTTAATTACACTTATACACACATTCCAGTAATGCAGTTGATTTATACAATCTGATGTTAATTGTACACTTTGTTTATGTTGTGGAATAGAAATGTAAACATTCTAACATAGCTCTTTCTTAACATCTGAACTACCTTAGCTAAAGATGCTTTTTCTACCCATTCTTCGTAGCACCAGCCCCTCTACCAGGTGATGGTTTCTCCGTTAGTGTCGACACTGCCTTGGTCTTTCAACGAGGGCCTCAGGGTTTCAGTCTTTCAGTGTGGTTGTGTGTCTTGCCCAGGGGCACATGGACAGCTGACATCAGTGGGAGTATGAAAAATGGATGGATGATTAAGATAAGATAACCTTTATTCGTCCCTCAGTGGGGAAATGTCCTCTTGCTTAATAATTGTGATATTTCAAATACATGGCAGGACATTAGCAAAAAAGCCATGGGGAAAATAAATGGATTACTGTTGTTAGTGGGTCTCTCCTGAAAATATATATATATTTTCTTTTATTTTGGGAAAATGTCCCTAAACCCTAAAAGTAGTCAAGTAATCATGTTTTTTCAAATAGTAATGGAATGGACCAGATGCCTATAGTCTCCAAAACTTAATTACAAATATTTTGGAATGGACCAATGGGATTCGTTTACCTCCCTTCACCCCCTTCCTGTTTCTCACGAGTGCGAGTACCTTTATTTATTATTTATTAATTTTATTACAGGGACAGTGCAAATTAATGAACATATCTGTATCCATCCGAATTCTGACGGATGGATGTAGACATTATTTCTTATCTCTCAGATCTTACACTGTATTATATAACCACTGGCTGTTACAGTATTTGTATTATAATTATATCTATTGTGGGAAGAGTGGAATCGGAGCGAGAAGCATCCATCATAGAGGTGTGTGTTGGGTTCAGCTGCTGTCGTGGAACACTGCTCCTGTGTGAGGGAAGACAGATGAGCTGTCCTCATCTCACACACACTAATTATGTTATTATTAAACCTTTAGAGTCAAAACAAACTATGTCAGGCTGCTGTCAATATGTGTCTCTGTGGACAAGGAACAGAAACAAACATCAGTAAATGTTACAACCGTTTGTTTTGGAGAAACTGAGAAAATATAAGTAGCAGAAAGTATCAAAGTGATTTAACAAGTTATGTAAATCCCTCATTTGACTTTTGTAAAGAATAACTCACTAATCAACAACTTTGTAAAGTCCTTCAAGATAACTACTGCTGTGATTTAGAGCCATACAAAAATCAGTTACATTTAATTGAATACCGTGTACTTTTTTTTTTTTTTACCTTTGACTAAATGCATTTGAAACGGCAGAAATTCCTAAGTAGCTCAGAAACAGTTAAGTAAGTAATCTTTATTTATATACCGCCTTTCAAAGACCAGAGTCACAAAGCGGTTTACAATGGGGGTTTTTTTGGGCTTATATCTCCCACTCCACACTGGGAGCAGTTATTGTTTTGTGCTTTACAAACCTCATTTTTATTGGTTTATTTATTTATATATTCATAATATATATGTATATATAAATTATTATACACAACCTGTCTCTCCACAACATGGAAGCTCATGTCAGGCATCATTGCGGCTAAGATAAGTGGGCATATGGAACAATTCATGAGCACAGCACAGAAGGGCATTGGTAGAGACACCAGAGGAGCTAAACACCAGCTCCTGGTTGACAGAACAGTTGCCCAAGACTACCGGTCACAACACACCAACCTGTGCACAGCCTGGATTGATTACCAGAAAGCCTACGACTCAATGCCACACACAAGGATCATGGAATGCTTGAAGTTGTACAATATCAACAGGGCTCTATAAGGGACTTTGTGGCAAACTCAATGGGGATGTGGAAGACCACCCTTGAGGCAAATGGCAAGCCGCTCGCACAAGTGACCATCAAATGTGGTATCTACCAAGGAGATGCTCTGTCCCCACTACTGTTCTGCATAGGCCTCAACCCTCTAAGCCAAATAATCGACCAGACTGGCTATGGATACGGGAACAAAGATCAGTCACCTCCTCTACATGGATGACATCAAGCTGTTTGCCAAGAGCGAGAGAGAAATCGACTCTCTGATCCAAACCACCAGGATCTACAGCCATGAAATCGGGATGTCATTCCTACTCGAGAAATGTTGCAGGATGGTGACTCTGACAGGCAAGGTAGTCCACACAGAAGGGATGTCACTCCCAGAGGGAACAATAGCAGACGTTGAACAGCTACAAGTATCTCGGTATACCACAGGCAAATGGCAACCTCCAACAAATACCTCCAGCGAGTAAGGCAGGTCCTAAGAAGCCGACTCAATGGCAAGAACAAGGCCCGGGCAATTAACAGCTACGCCCTGCCAGTGATCAGATACCCTGCAGGAATAATCAGGTGGCCAAAGGAAGAGATTCAGACCACGGATGTTAAAACTCGAAAGCTCCTCACCATGCATGGCGGGTTCCATCCCAAATCCAGCACCCTGAGACTGTATGTAAGCCGTAAAGAAGGAGGCCGAGGACTGGTGAGTGTGAGAGCCACTGTCCAGGACGAAACATCCAAACTCCATAACTACATCATGGAGAAGGCCAAAACGGATGGCGTACTCAGTGAATGTCTCAGGCAGTGGCGAGATGAGGAGGTGCTGGAGGAGAGCCCATCATGGGAGGACAAGCCCCTACATGGCATGTACCACCGGAGCATAACAGAAGTGGCTGATCTCAAGAAGTCCTACCAATGGCTAGAAAGGGCTGGCCTACAGGACAGCACAGAGGCACTCATCATGGCTGCACAGGAACAGGCCTTGAGCACCAGAGCGATAGAGGCCCAGATATACCACACCAGACAAGACCCAAGGTGTCGGTTGAGCAAAAGAGGACCTGAGACGATCCAACACATGACTGCAGGGTGCAAGATGCTGGCAGGGAATGCCTACAGGGAACGCCATAACCAAGTGGCTGGCATAGTGTACGGAAAGATCTGTGCAGAGTATGGGCTGGAAACCCCAAGGTCTAAGTGGGAAACTCCTCCAAAGGTGGTGGAGAATGAGCGTGCGAAGATCCTGTGGGACTACCAGATACCGACCGAATGGTAATGGCGAACCAACCTGACATCGTGGTGGTAGACAAAGGGCAGAGGACAGCCGTGGTGGTAGACGTGGCAATTCCAAGCGATGGTAACATCAGGAAAAAAGAACACGAAAAGCTTTTCGGGCTCAGAGAGGAGCTGGAGAGGGCCTGGAGGGTATAGATGACAGTAGTGCCCGTGGTGATTGGTGCACTCGGGGCAGTGACCCCGAAGCTGGAGAAGTGGTTACAGCGGATCCCTGGAACAACCTCGGAAATCTCGGTCCAGAAATGTGCAGTGCTAGGAACAGCAAAGATACTGCGCAGAACCCTCAAGCTCCCAGGCCTCTGGTAGAGGACCCGAGCTTAGAGAGGGTTAACCGCCCGTGGAGGGCAAAAAGTTAGAATTTATGTATATACGTCAATTCTACATCTTGCATATAATCTATACATGTATATACAGTGGGGCGAAAAAGTATTTAGTCAGCCACCGATTGTGCAAGTTCTCCCACTTAAAATAATGACAGAGGTCTGTAATTTTCATCATAGGTACACTTCAACTGTGAGAGACAGAATGTGAAAAAAAAAATCCAGAAATTCACATTGTAGGATTTTTTAAAGAATTTATTCGTAAATTATGGTGGAAAATAAGTATTTGGTCACTTCAACCAAGGAAGATCTCTGGCTCTCACAGACCTGTAACTTCTTCTTTAAGAAGCTCTTCTGTCCTCCACTCGTTACCTGTATTAATTAATGGCACCTGTTTGAACTCGTTATCTGTATAAAAGACAGCCCAAATGTAGCCCACAACGATATTTCAATCACTGATAATCTCCCTCGCAATATCTCATCCCGTGGGGTCAAAATGATCATGAGAACGGTGATCAAAAATCCCAGAACCACACGGGGGGACCTGGTGAATGACCTGCAGAGAGCTGGGACCAAAGTAACAAAGGTTACCATCAGTAACACACTACGACGACAGGGAATCAAATCCTTCAGTGCCAGACGTGTCCCCCTGGTGAAGCCAGTGCATGTCCAGGCCCGTCTGAAGTTTGCCAGAGAGCACACGGATGATACAGCAGAGGATTGGGAGAATGTCATGTGGTCAGATGAAACCAAAGTAGAACTGTTTGGTATAAACTCAACTCGTCGTGTTTGGAGAAAAAGTTGCATCCCAAGAACACCATACCTACTGTGAAGCATAGGGGTGGAAACATCATGCTTTGGGGCTGTTTTTCTGCTAAGGGGACAGGACGACTGATCCGTGTTAAGGAAAGAATGAATGGGGCCATGTATCGTGAGATTTTGAGCCAAAACCTCCTTCCATTGAGTTGAATTTCTGTTATTGACCAAATACTTATTTTCCACCATAATTTACAAATAAATTCTTTAAAAATCCTACAATGTGAATTCCTGAATTTTTTTTTCACATTCTGTCTCTCACAGTTGAAGTGTACCTATGATGAAAATTAGAGACCTCTGTCATTATTTTAAGTGGGAGAACTTGCACAATTGGTGGCTGACTAAATACTTTTTTTCCCCACTGTATATATAATCTATACATATACACTAATATTTGATTTCACTCTGAACCAGAGCAGAGATAATGGCAGAGATCAAGCAGACTATGTAGAAATCAACCAGAGGAAGCAGCTCATCCCCAGCTCCACCACCTCTGCTGCTGCTGCACTTTATTACTATTATTAGTGACTTTGAGAATGATGTATTTATTTGTTTGTATGGATGTTTCTGCTGCTGGACGACTACTTTTCTTCTACGGAAATCAATAAAGTATATGTATATAACATTATATAAACAGTCGAGAGTCAACAGTTTTAAACTCTTCCCCTTGTGCCTAAAAAAAGCTGTCTCAGTCCAATTATGATGTCATAACAATCACATGTCTGTGTTTGACAATTCAACTCATTCAACTTAAATCAACACACAATATTTTATTTCACCTTGTAAAACATGAAATGGTCATTTATTTTTGCCAAAAATAATGCTAAGTATTATAAATCATTGTTACTATGTTGTTGTTTTTTATAACAATAATATAGCAAGGAGGCATGAATGTTCCTGTTCTTTCTGTTCCTGGATGTGAGTGCCGTATACTCGGACGGTCCTTGTCCACGATGCTGTGGCCGTGTGAGATCCATGGACCGTATGAGGCCTGTCTCTCTGCTTAGAAGGAGGACTGTTCCTGTGCGTAAAGAGAGGCGTGGCTTCCCCCGCGCCCTCTCCTGGAGCTCAGACTCAGTGAGACTGTGAGCTGCAGCCACATCACTCACTGGACTGTAAACATACTCTGAGTATACTCTGTGTTACTGAGCCACAGTGTGGACTCTCTCTGAAGCATGCGGCGCGGACGGGCCGGCGGAGGAGCACCGCGCACTGCCAACTACTGCGTCTAGGTGAGTTTCAAATAAAGAGTTGTGTTGTTTTACCAGATTGACTTGACAGGTAAAATAATCTGCTAATTCAACACTCAGCCAGCGCAAGGGAAATACTGAGTTTAATTCTTGCGTGTGAATGATCTTGTTTTGGTCTGATTTGGAATGTCACAATAACACATGCTGATTGACTTGAGTGAGGTCTATTAAACGAAAATATTGAATCATTAAGGTATTCGATAAATCTAACAATAAAACAGTTGCGTTAAGTAATCATTAGAGTGACTCATTTGACTCTGTGTTGCAAAGAAAATGGCTCTAATGATTTGTATGGATGATATAGACTGAGCCACAACATATATTGCTCCATAATAGTTAATGAGCAATGACTTGATCAGTTTAGGAACTTTGAGCCAAAGATGGATGGTGTATTTTATTTCTACACTACCCTGTCAAACTTCATCTACCACCTATTTCCATCATTTTACTTGTTATTATTGCAAATATTGAGACTCCAGGACGTGGATGGATTCTCCAGGATGATGTTATATTGACGTTTTTTTACTTGAATGAAAATGCACTGCTTTTAATTATGTAAGGATCTTAAGGATCATAATGAGATATGTCCTTATTGACACATATTTTCTATTAATTAAAGTAGTTTGGGTTTTTTTGCATTTAATCTACATTTAGTCTGACAAAACCTCTACTGGTTCCAATCACTGACTAAGGTCTAGTGTTCCGCTCCGGACACAAGGTCGACATGTGCAAATAATATGTGGGATTTTCTGACCAACATTTTAATGTAGATGTTCATGTTCTTTTTAATACATGTTTTTAGATGTAATTTGGTGAAAAAGTGTCACTAAGCAGCATGAGGTATGCGATTCCACGTTAAGTGAAATAAAAATATCTGTTTTAGAACGATTTGTTTACAGCAGCTAAATGTTAGTTAAATGTTTGTAAAATAATTACTTTGAAACTTTATGAACATTGAACCCAAGCCGTACATAAAGTCATACACACCCAGTAAACAAGAAACAAGGAATGTTTTTGCAGGCAGCGCATCACAATGGTCTTCTACCATCAGGTTAAGTAAATATTTTTCTTATATAAGATTGTAAAAATGGTTCCTCCATGGCCTGAAAGAAGCTTCTACGCACTGGGGGATTTTTGTCCTGATAATTTGTGTTGAAATTCATTTTAAATAGGCCCCCAATGTGATTATATAAGTATTGTAGAGATGCTGACACCACAACATACCAAGCTGTGCCTTTTCTGGAAACGTGTTGTTCTTTGTGAACTGCCCTGCTGTTTACCTTTGCACAAACTACAGAGGCCCAGAGAGGCCAAAGCAGAGCTGTGGAAGCATCTCACTATTCTCACTTAGAAAGTAAGATTTTATCTTATCTTAAAATCACAATTCACTTATTACTAAGATAGTTTTATTCAGGTGGAGAAGAAATGTTAGATCAATGGCCTCAACTGTCCATCAAGAATTTATATACATTAATTGTCGAATCAGGAATCGGTAAGGATGAGCATTGGCAAAGTTCACATTCCTTCAAAAACAATTCACATTCATCAACACAATTTGAAAAAGCCCTGCCTCCTCATTGTTGAATTTCATACAAAACTATATTCCTACATATTGTAAACAAAATGCAAAATCTTCATCTGGAAAATAACCCTTTGTTGCTTGAGATAAGAAGGACTGTGTTGCATTGGGAGATAATTTTACTGATCAAGTCAAAAGATCCTAATGAATGTACTTGTGTGGAAGCATGAATGTGGCCCTGTACGTGGTGACCCTGGCTCAGTGCGTGTGTGCCGTGGCGGTGGGACATGTGGAGGGTCGCAGGACATGCTCACTCTACTGTCGCGTCGGCATCGGCTTCCACCTGCAGATCCACCAGGACGGAAGAGTCAACGGCAGCCACCAGCCCAACCACCTCTGTGAGTCCAACCCTTTGCACTATTACAATACAAAGTATTGTAATAGCCATCCAATAGTCCCCCTGCCCCATTTTGAGTTCTTGTTTTAAAAGATGTTTTGAATTGTCGATGGTGCTCTGTTAACACCCTCTTAAAAGCCCAATAAATTCCTTGTTCAACTTGTTGAACAGTGAAATGAATGGATTGTTTCTCCTGGCGAGGCTTTGGAACTGTCCACTAGTGGGCGTTCTCCCAAATGCTGACTGTCGCCTCTCAAAATATTGTATGAATTCACGTCCCATTCCTCATTCACTGTCAGTTGTAAATAAACAAGTCATGTAGTAAGAGCCCACAGTGACGCTACCTGGAAAACCACACAGCGATGGACTGAATATGAAGTATTATTATAATATGTATGATAAGTATGTATGATTAAAGGAAAAGTGGCTTACTGCGTTTGAGACACATTAAGACATTAACACATGTGTTTTATATTTTATATTGTGTTAGAGAATATTTTATAGAACTAGTGTCTATGGGGTTAGCGCATCGCACCCCCGTCAGGGAATAACCAAAAAGCATAATGTTTGAATAAAAACATATTTTTCTTAAAAAAGTGGTTCCACAGAGTTTTAACTGAAAGGACTAACTACTTAAGTTTAGGTTGGTCACAAAACAGCAGTGTGGTCGAGACAAGTTCATAGTGTATGAACTTGTCTAAAGAGTACTGTTACACTGCCACAGATGTGAGTAAAGTCAGAGTACTGTTACACTGCCACAGATGTGAGTAAAGTCAGAGTACTGTTACACTGCCACAGATATGAGTAAAGTAAGAGTACTGTTACACTGCCACAGATATGAGTAAAGTAAGAGTACTGTTACACTGCCACAGATATGAGTAAAGTAAGAGTACTGTTACACTGCCACAGATATGAGTAAAGTAAGAGTACTGTTACACTGCTACAGATATGAGTAAAGTCAGAGTACTGTTACACTGCTACAGATATGAGTAAAGTCAGAGTACTGTTACACTGCTACAGATATGAGTAAAGTCAGAGTACTGTTACACTGCTACAGATATGAGTATTCGACATTCAACTACATTTCAACTACAACTACAACATTTACAACCACTACATTTATCGACATGATTGGACTCGGTCATCTGTCCCTTTTGGACTAATGTCTCTGTGTTTTTATCATTGCATCCATGTGTTTGAACTGTTTGATTCTCAGATCTGTTTTGGCAAATTCAACGGTTGTAAAGTCCTCAGACATTACTACTGTTGTGATTTAGACCTATACAAAATAAATGGAATTGAATAGAATTTACGCTGCCACAAATATGACTAAATTAAGAGTACTGTTACACAGAGATAGTTAGATAGAGTTAGATAGGAGAAATTCAGATGATCAGCAGCACTTCCATACAAACACATACAGTAAGTACATACATTATAAATGTTTCTCAATAACTAACTAAGAAAACAAAACATATATGAGTAAAGTCAGAGTACTGTTACACTGCCCACTGCATCTCCACCATCAACATTAGCGTTGTGTTATATGTAAGCGAAGCCTCACAGATTCTGGCGCTGGTGATTGATGTGGTAGTATTTCTGTGTGGTATTAGCCTGCGGTGCTGACACGCGTTGCTCAAAGGCACAGGGGGCGATGACGGGGCTCGTTGGGGGCTGAGGTCACTCTTGGCAGGTACAGAATCTGCCCACAAGACTATTCTGGGCGCGGACAGGTGCACGAGTCAGTCCTGCTTTCACCACGCGGTGCAGAGTAACAGCTCATTACACGACAGCCCGCCGAGCTTTTGTGTCTGTCGTGTCGTAAAGTCAGGAATAGAGCCTTTCACATGCTGTGTCAACAAAGTGGAGCTGACGAGATGAAATGAATCAACTATAAAACGTATTAGTTGATTCAACTAAACGTATTTGTTCCTGCATGGATCTGTTCTGTATTTGAGCCATGCATCTACAGATGTAGAGGTCAGTTTGGTCAGGACTTTTATGGAGTATTTTGAAAACCGAGAAAGGACCAGTCTGAGGATTCTTAAAAATACATTTACTTTTACCAACCTGAACACAGCTCGCTAGCTTGAAGAGTATGTATGTTAGTATGTTATGCATAACATATTTAAAGAATAAGACTGCAGAGCAATCTATCTTCCACAGACGTGCATGAGTCTTACGTTGGTCATGAGTGCGAGGTGGGCTGTAATGTCCTTGGTCATTTTGTGGCCTGTAAATCCCAGGTCAGCTCTTGGCACACTGTGTGTGTTGGAAGAGTATTGCATACTTTACTTCAGTCCTCCAGTTTACTCACACATACTGAGTGACATCTGCTCCTCTCTGACTTCTTGAAGGAGACCTACTGCACTTGTTAGGTAATTAGGTTGTTGGTATTAAAGCCTAGATACAGTGTCTCTGTCTCGTGTGCTGCAGGTGTGCTGGAGCTGTTCTCCGTGTCTCAGGGCGTCATCGGCATCAGAGGCGTCCACAGTAACCTCTTCCTCTCCATGAACCACCGAGGACGGCTGCACGCCACGGTACACAACACACAGGACACTGACTGTTGTTCATGTTGCTCTTGTACAGGACTGTGTCGCCTCTGTCACATCTTCAAACTATTTATATTTCTAGAAACCAATGTGAATTTGACCAGAGGGCTATAAAAATGGGTGTCACGGTTTTCTCAACACCACTACTTTTCTCTTGTCTGGTTCAATCCAAAGACTAAATCGGGACTAAATTAAGATGAAGGGGCAGGAAGTAAATCAACCAGGATTTAAAGTAAAGTATTTTACTCAGAAAGTTGGGAGAAATGTGTATTACCCTTGTGCAGATGTGATGTAAAAGTATTAGTGTTGTCACGATATAACATTTCAGACTCAATTTTGATACTGGAAAAAATACTCTTAATAAATGTAAATACCGAAGCACTCATTGATAATTTTGAATCAGAATCATAAATGTTTAACTGCGATTGTAAGGAACTAGGAATTTGCGTTGGCTCATAGTGCAAACTAGCCTGACTACGTCATCCTCACGATTCTGGTCAGAATGTGCCCGCTGAAATGTTATGTAGGCGGGGCTAAAGTTCGGCTCCCAGGCAAACAAGTCATTTAAGAGTAAAAAATGTATATATGCATGCATAAAAAGTCCACCAGATAATACTTTGTTTGGACAATAAACTGTTAATGTCAATTTCAATTTTAAATACTTATTATAGGATCATATGGTTTTATAGATGATACAGTTTTAAATGTACCAACAAATTATCAAGAATTGTATCATTTACTTTCTCAAATTAGTATGTTATTTCAATACTTTACTTGATACATTTGACAATTTAAAAAAGTATACACTGATTTAGCTTTTCAATACCCGAGTCATCTATCTACACAACTGCCAGTAGCAAACACAAAAACATGTATGTGTGCGGATGAGGGCAAGATTAACAGGAGCAGGACTACCGCGAGTCTAAACCAGGTCTGGAGCAAGACATTATTTTACATTGGCATTCCAGCGCTCGCTCTGATGATGCACGGGGGCGGGTGTCTACAGGAGAGGGGCAGATCCAGTGTCCACTTCAGTCGAATGCGTGTCATATTTGGAGGATTTAAAAGCTCTGGAGGCCCACGGGACACAGGGCTGAGGCGGGCCGGTGGTGGGTGCTTTTTGGGGGGGGGAGGTGGCATGTCGAGTATTTGGTCCAAGCAGTCGTCACTCGTAAAGCCTGAAAGAGCAATGACGAGAGCTCCTTTTCAGATTGAATGTGCTGATGTTTCTGGTATGGTGTTTAAGTGGACATATGAGGTCATTTTAAGAGCAGGAGTGATTCTTGTACAGTATGTTGTAGTAATGTGCATTCCCACCAGAGCGTGCTCGGGTTGTAAAAAGTATTGGAAATTGGTAATTAATTTGTTACAAAAATTGGTATATAAACCAATAATAATAATAATAATGCATCAGTTTTATATAGCGCTTTTCTGGACACTCAAAGACGCTTTACATGTAATTATTCTTTCACTCCATACACGGTGGTGATAAACTACTACTGTGCAAATATCAATACTGAAAGCAAAATACAGATGTAACATAATTATAGATATTTTTTGCGATAAAAAGTATTATATGTATATGTAACATATATACACACAGTGTATATTTTTAAATTTTTTGCTTGAAAATAAAAGTGATATCAAAATTGCTATTGAGTATCTATTTACTACTCTCAAAATGTTTATAGTATTATTTACTTTGATAATAATAATAATAATAATAAGATTAAAGATTATAAATGTGATCAAGCACAGATAGGTCTTTATTATGTTTTCTTTATTATACACAACAAAACAATGACAATGTCCCTTACCATCTGTTATGAATGGTCCAATGGTGTACGTGCCAAAACACCTGGGCATGCTGCAGAATCAGCTTGTTTGTACTGAGAAGTTAAAAATGGGTATTATTGTAGCAATGGTTTCTTAGTTACAGAGAATAAAAGGAAAAGATGAGTTGCTGTTGCTTTGTACGTGAGAAAGATCAACATTGTAAAGAGCTCTTTATAATATGATTTGGCATGAACTGCTTAAACCCCTCATATCTTCACCAGTCCAAATGTCAATCTGCTTTTTCCTCCTCATTTTCTTTTTAACATAAATATAAATAGTTGAATTGAGATGTTCATCCCATTTGACCATACAGCCGTAATCTTCAAAAGCCTTTAAAACCCACGGGAAACTGGGATCAGTTCACAGCAGAACCCAGGGACCTGAGACGCTCTTGAGCCAAGAAAACTGAACTGTGATGAAGAAAGAAGGATGCTGAGCGGCCGCTCTCTGAGCACTCTGGCTCAAGCCGATTATCACCAAGCGTCTGCTGTGTCCGATAGGGAGGAGTTTGACATGGAGTAATGCAGTAACTCTAGACTTCAATGTCATTTACTGACTCATTATGTCGACTGGTCAAACCTCATGATGTGATGTGTGTTCAGGTCCAGATACTCGAGTACAAAAATCCATCTACGGCTGAGAGCAGATACACTTTTCTTAGCCTACCCATAGTTGTAATATACAGTAAATAATTATTTTGGGCTTCTTCTCCACATACGCAGTAGCTAATTATACATTGAATCACCGTTTCAGCCGGGTCGTGGGCGCAGCAGTCTAAGCAGAGACACCCAGACTTCCCTCTCTACCCACACTTCCTCTAAGTCATCCAGGAGAATCTCAACGTGTTCCCAGGCCAGCTGAGAGACATAGACTCTCCAGTCGTCCATGAAACATTCCAAAAAGATACCAGAGGAAACTTAACTTGAGGAAAAGTCTCTCCACCTACCTGGAGAGGGCAAGACACCTTTTTCAGGTCCAGCACCATGGCCTCAGAGGTGGCTGATTCTCATCCCAGCCGCTTCACACTCGGCTGCAAACCGTCCCAGTGCATGTTGCAGGTCCTGGTTTGTTGAAACCAACAGGACGACATCGTCTGCAAACAACAGATGAAATCCTGTGTCCTCTAGTCTCCCTCTGGCCCACGGCTGCGGCTCCTCCCAGGAGTTCTTTCCATAAAGACATTGAACAGAATCTGTGACAAAGAGCAGCCTTGGCAGAGGCCAACATGGACACATGAGAACACAGCTCTGACTCCGGTCATATAGGTACTGGACGGCCCAAAGCAGAGGACCAGTTGGGGGACTGGTTGGATGAACTCCCATGATCCCTCAAGCATTCGATGCTGGTCCAGTGTTCTGTGGCCGGGACGAAAACCACACTGCTCCCCCTGAATCAGAGATCCGATTGGACGAACCAGTCTGATCAATTGGACAGAGTAATTCCAACGAATCTAATTTTGTTCTTTGTTGTGTACATGTTTTTTTCCCCTCATTTAAGTCAGGCCAAGTCCTAGTTTACCTGGTTGGAAGTAGCTTCGTTCAAGATTTACAGTGGGGCAAAAAAGTATTTAGTCAGCCACCGATTGTGCAACTTCTCCCACTTAAAATAATGACAGAAGTCTGTAATTTTCATCATAGGTACACTTTAACTGTGAGAGACAGAATGTGAAAGAAAAATCCAGGAATTCACATTGTAGGATTTTTAAAGAATTTTATTTATTTATTTATTTGAGTTGAGTTCTACTTTGGTTTTATCTGACCACATGACATTCTCCCAATCCTCTGCTGTATCATCCATGTGCTCTCTGGCAAACTTCAGACGGGCCTGGACATGCACTGGCTTCAGCAGGGGGACACGTCTGGCACTGCAGGATTTGATTCCCTGTCGTCGTAGTGTGTTACTGAAAGTAACCTTTGTTACTTTGGTCCCAGCTCTCTGCAGGTCATTCACCAGGTCCCCCCGTGTGGTTCTGGGATTTTTGATCACCGTTCTCATGATCATTTTGACCCCACGAGATGCGATCTTGCGTGGAGTCCCAGATCGAGGGAGATTATCAGTGGTTGAAATATCGTTGTGGGCTACATTTGGGCTATCTTTTATACAGATAATGAGTTCAAACAGGTGCCATTATTACAGGTAACGAGTGGAGGACAGAAGAGCTTCTTAAAGAAGAAGTTACAGGTCTGTGAGAGTCAGAGATCTTCCTTGTTTGAAGTGACCAAATACTTATTTTCATTCTTAAATACATTCTTAAAAAATCCTACAATGTGAATTCCTGGATTTTTTTTCACATTCTGTCTCTCACAGTTAGACTGTGTTTGATATATTTTCTGTTAAACAATCACACAATCAAAATTAGATATTGTTTATTTATTCAGTAGATATAAATATAGCAGATCAAAGCAAAACATTTCTTGTCACAAAATCTGGTATTGATGAAAGTTGATATAGAACTTTTCCGCTTTATGGATGAGCCCCAGAGGATTATGGGAAAGTCCCTGACACAGTGTGACAAATGCAGCGCTTTACATCCAACAGCTGCACATGTATTTACAACTATCCTTTTAACATGTACCAGGAAACCAGCGAGAAACCAGGAACTTGTATCATTATGCCAAAGGAATATCTACTGCAAAAGTATGAACCCGTAACACACCAGAGACAATGAATCACTTAAACGGACAATAAATATGAAAGTATTATTGGAGCTACTTTCAACAATTACAATATTGGTGCATCTTTTATTTGAGGCTAATCTGGTCAAATAGATTAAATAAGACAATGAATTTATATAAAACTATCATTTTTTCAACCAGCTAAAACTTGAAAGTTTTGCAAAGAAAATGGCAAAAAAATTAGAAGAAACTATACAGACAATACATATTATTTCTTCTATTCATTATTGAACAATGAGTGGATATATCAAATCTAGTATTGTACTGTCCATGTGTGTAAATCCAAACATTTATGGTTAAGGTACACTTTCATTGATCCCAGTAAGAACTTCTTGCTGAGAAGTGACAGCCACGTAGCATTGATTATTGCCTCCTTTAAAGGACTACGACGATGGTAACGATATGCAAAAGTTTTCTTATAAGTGTGTTTAACTGTACTGTACTTACACTAAATCATAAGATTTAAGACTGGAGACACCTCCTCTGTCTAAATGCTCTGTTTTAAGATGGAGATGTTTCACTAATCCATTTTCTTTTTGTTATATTTTAAAACAGGAAATGCCAAAGTAAAATATATTCTAAAGATCATATAGAGAGAGAAAGAGAAAATGAGAATGCTGCAGGGTTCACAGTGTGAAATCTTCTTCACAAACCTGGAGGAGCAGAAATATATAGTTATAGTACTTTACTCTGCATCTCAATAAGAACAAAAGGCTTTTACTTTTTACTGCATTTAAAAAAAATTGTGTTATAAATATTTTCTCATTCTAAAGATCCTGTTTAAGGTCCCAAGTCCCAGACAATAATGTGTTCTTTAAAGTCCGGCTTTAATAATGCCACACATGAAACATAATCCTCCTTTGCTCCGCTCTGTGTGTGTTTGCACTGAGCTCAACATAAATATTAGTTTTATTCTAAATATGATACCCTCCTGTGACAGCTGTAATGGGGCCCTGTGATTTTCTGCCCCACTGCATCGCTTCGGACCAAGAGTGAGGGTTTTACGGCAATTACACTTTTCTCAACAAATAAAGTCACTTACATTGTGTTTACATGTCTTTCCTGGATATGAGCGGATTTTGTTCATGCTTTTGACTCCTTGTAAACAAATGGATCCTGGGAAATAAATTAAGTTTTGAACAATATTTTTGTGTTACCAGGTTGGTCGTTGGAGAACTGCAGTATTCAGGAAATCATTTATGTGAGATTTTTAGATTAGGAATTATTAAAGCTGTAGTACCTAACTTTGAAACCATAAAATCCATATAAAAAGAGAGTACCTACCAACTCTCAGCCAATCATCTCTCAATATGTAAAACATGATGTGTTTTCTAATACAATAAAGACAGCATTTAATATCCATCCATCCATTTTCTTCACCGTAATCTATTTCTGGGTTGGGGGCTGCCATCCAATCCACAGAGCAGCAGCCCCTCACTGATCCTCCTGCAGGTGGAGAGTCCACTATTCTAGAGTCTATTTTAAACAAGACTTGTTCTGTTTGGGACAAACAAAATGTATGTATGAAACAAACAAGTTATGTCCAGTTTTTAACAAAATAATTGCTTGATTTAGTGAATATTACATCTTGATTTGAGTAAATTTTGACTTTTGATTTGAGAACATTTCCAGTGTGAAAAATACACAAGTGCTGGGAGCATATTTGTGATGTCTGTTGGCCATACATGTTTTTGTACAATTCCTGATTGCGTTTTATCAGAGCAATATAAAGCCCAGCCAATGTTGCTTTTACACAATCTCTGGCAGTAGCTTTACTTGCATCAAAACAGGATGCAGTGATTGCACTAGCATTATGGGACAGCGCCTTCTGTGTGGGCTTCCAGCTTCTGTCATCACTGAGTCTGAAGTGAATGGAAACTATAAAGTGCTCTGTGAATAGTATCATATTATAGTCATTGTTTATTTAAAAACATTTACGCTAAAATATAAAAACAAAAAACAGGATTACAAAAAAAGACTGCAATAGATAGTTTGATGAAGGGGTTGGATGGAGCAGACTCACTGCCTCAGAAGACACAGGGCCAGACCTTTCTCCCGTCACTTGATCTTTTATTTTGTATTTATTTTTTTAAGATTCTGTAATGGAATCATGTTTGAACCTGTTCCTAATTGTCCAAAAAGTAACTCCTCGCACTTGTGATGGCCAAATGATCCATTGGACTATTTCAGTCAGTTGAGCCTATGTTGGTCAAGCTCTACCACTTGTGTTTAAAGACAAATAAAGCACCTAAAGCAACGCAGTTTTATAAAAGAAAGTGTTTAATGAACCCCCATAAAGTTGGATTTTTTAAACATTGTCATTTATTTCCCAGGAATTAATGTATCAACTTTGCCAATACGACAATAATTGAATGATTGAAACATCACAACCTTGCACTGACTAACTTTGGAACCTTTGGTCTGAGAAATGCGCATATAAATAAGGCTTTCTTCCTCTCCTCTGTTGCAGGAGCGCTTCACGGACGACTGCAAGTTCCGCGAGCGCTTCCAGGAGAACAGCTACAACACGTACGCCTCGGTGGCCCACATGAACCAGCACACAGGCCGACAGTGGTATGTGGCCCTCAACAAGCGCGGCAAAGCAAAGATGGGCTCCAGTCCCAGGGTCAAGTCCCAGCATGTGTCCACTCACTTCCTGCCCCGGGGCGGACTGCGCGCACAAGACGGCCTGGCCTTCACCATCGCAGACAAGCCGTCAGAGAGCAGGACAAAATGGCAGCTGAACCGGCCGGCGAAAGAGGCCGCAGCGAGCGTGAATGTGCCCGCCAAAAGGACGGTCAAGTATTGGCCCAAGTATCGTTTTGGATAGAAGGCTTTTTACAGACTTTTGGATGTTTGAGTGAATGGATTCATTGATCGCAGAAGAATTGAAGGGATGTATTTGAGGAGAGCGGAGTCCGAGTTGGAAGATGTCTTCAAATGTGAGTATGCATCTTGAACTGACGAAATGTAATTTTCCAGAGGTGGACAGCATTTGTATTGATTCCATGGAGGTTGAAAGGACACTTTGTGAAGAGTTCTCAACAATCAATACCTTGATGTTAATCTATTTATAAAAGCTAGTTTTGATGTGGGATATTCATTTCAAGTATCAATATTCTACAATATATTATCTGTGAATTATTCCACATAAACTCTGGCCGTTTAATTCTCTGCTGTAAGTGTGTAAGAGATGGACATAATGATACATCGGACCAATTTTAACACTTCTGAAATATTGGCCCTATTCTGCTCTTATAAGGTCCGATATGCTATAATGATAAGATAAGTCCACTCTCTCATGTTCCTTCCCTGGATGTTCACTGGGGCTGGAGCAGCAGAGTGACGTCTGCGGAAATCCACCACCATCTCTTTGGTCTTCCCCGTGTTGATGAGGAGGTGGTTCCGCTGACACCAGTCCACAAAGTCCTGTATAACTCCTCTGTACTCTGCGTCATCGTCCTCGGTGATGGCGTCAGAGAACTTCTGTAGGACACAACCGTCTGTGTTGTGTTTCAAGTCTGCAGTGTGGAGGGTGAAGTCCTCATGCCATCTGTCACTATATATGGCATGGATCACATTGACACACACTATATAGATATAGCTATAGATATAGAAGGATCACTGGCTGCTCTGCCTGTGTGTATTGCACCCACTACTGGTCTACTTCCTGCATTGTACAGGCGGCACCGTGGCACGGCGCTTGTGCTTCATAGCAAGGTCTTTGGTTCGATTTCACCTCCAGATTGGTGTGAAGTCTGCGTAGGTTTCCTCTAGATGCTCCGGTTGCACTAACATCACTGTCCCAACCAAAAATGACAATGGCAACACTCTGCTAGCTGTCAAACAGAAAATCTTTGTTCATAGTCTTAACGTGACAAAATGTTCAAATGGTCTGTTTTCTTACTCTCACAACCCACTGTTTTCCTTCAGTGCAGAGTGTGTACATTGTAGAGACCTGTAACCTGATGTGCACTTGTTGTGTTGTCATAACTGGAGGTACACACATATTATACTCGCCTAATTGAATTGTCTGCTTAATTTCAGGAATAGCCGACCAACTGTCTGTGTGACCCTGTGATCTTTAGAGGCTCTCGACAGCTGCGAGCACCAGCGGATCAAACACAGTCCTGGAGCGGTCTATCAAAGTGTCCACAGAGCCATCATCATGTATACACACACATACAAGTCCAAAATATGTTGAAAATCACACAAATTGCACCAATGACACAATTTATATTTAAAATGTTGCGATAAAACAGAGCAGCCCAAACAATTTTGTTTTATGCCATTATGTTTCGACTCCAAGAGTCGATCCGGGCCTGGTGAGATGATCTTTGTGAGATAATAATGTTGTGTTTTATTGTTAGGAGTTTATTGGCAGTTTACAACAAGGCACACTTTGTGTGATGCCTTCCTTTTATAACCAGAAAGTGAAACGTAAAGACTAAAAAAGTTGAATATTTTTTACTGTGGACATTTTTTATCTAATTTATTTCCAGATCCTGATGGAAAATATTTAAATATGTAAATTTTATTTACTTTACTGTTATATTCAATTGTGAATATAAGATGCATCTTTTTTCCTCTTCTGAAAGTGTCAAATGCGTGTTATAAGGACTTAACGGGTTGTTTTTAGTTTGTTTCCCATTTGTTCAAAGACTCAAAACGTGATTAGTCACAAATCGTCTTCAGGCTCAATATGTGTGTTTAATACTTATTACAGCCCCAGTATGTCACTATTCCCCAAGTATGCAATAATTACTGCATGTGTTTTTCACTGTTTTGAACGTTTTATTGCTCTAAAAAAAACAGTATAAAAATTGCAAAAGCAATTAAGCAATTCAACCAAATTGTATCTTTTTATATACCGTATATGTATTTCTTATGTCATGTGAATGTGGAAAGGTCCTCACAAGGTGTTCAACTCTGAAAGTAATCTTACAGATGAATATGAAGAAAGCATGAAACTTTCACAAACACCAACAATATTGACCTTGAAATTGATGATTCTCAAAAGTGTGTTTAAAAACCCATGACAAAAATATGTTCCCTTTAAAGTTTGTTGCATGCAGTAAATAACAATGTTGTGGAAGTTGGTGTGGTGTGCGTCACACCATATTCAATGACAGACTATTTTTTATACTGAATCCAAATAAATATTTAAATTCACAACCTTTTGCAGAAAAGTGTCCTATATTTGTTTTTTTATGAAAGAAGTAATACACTTTATGTTTTTGTTCATTTATTTGTGTAACCTTTTGTTAAGCTTTATTTTTTGATTCCTGGTTCTGTCCTGGTCCGGTCCTGGTTCAGTCCTGGTTCAGTTGTGTGATGGTCTGGTTGCTGTAGGTGGAGGTCCAGAAGTGAACATAGTCCGCTCTGAGGTCATAGCTGTGGAGACAGTAGTCAACAATGATTATATGCATCTTTTTTCATTGAGTACAATAAAACCAGCTCTTAACTTCATTTGAAAATTACCCTACAAGAGCAACAGTAGTAACTGTCGACACGAACTATAGACCATAAAGCCTCATCTCACACATCCACTTCCACCATCTTACTTTAAGGAAATCCAACAAATCACCCAATCCAGTCTCTCATGCCCTCATCTTCTCCCTCTAAGCTCTTTTGTAACATTAGTTAATTAGACTTGTCCAAGTGTTATCAATCCAGATTGTCCAACCTTTTTAGGTTGGACAATTTAGAATTTAGGCTGTTTGGAGCATTTAAAATGGGTATGACATGTCTGTTGATTTACATTGAACAAAGCTGAATTTATCTGAATAACAAATGTCTCACTATAGCTACATATTCAACATCTTTGGAATATTGAGGCACAATCTAAAACAAATGTTGGTATCGTCCAGTGGGGGCGGGTCCCGGCTCAAAAGTGGCCAAAATGATGTGCGCTGACATGCTTGCAATACCACCCCGGGGCCGATGGGGGTGGACCCGGAATAAGAATTAGCCAATGCTAACATTAGCATCTTCTTACCTCTCAAACGTCTTTACAGGATGGACCAAAAGTTGTCTCTTGGCCCAAAGCTCCGTTCCACATGTGTGTCAATGCTGAGGGGAGTGAATTTTTTTGGTCCACTCTAGTTTACATTGCTGTGAATTTTTGAAGTCTCTCGTTCAAATGAATGGACGCCGGCGCAGATGCGTTTTTTCACAATTTTCTTTTGGGCGGGACCAGTCGCAGCCATTTTGGAGAAGGTCCAGTAGAGCACTATTTTTGGCCCATTAGTTAGAACGGCGGAGATAGGCGTGACTACGTCCGTTAATTTTTACATTCTATGGTTTGAACGGCGGAGATAGGCGTGACTACGTCCATTGATATTTACAGTCTATGGTATAGTCTAACCAATCAACGTCTGGATTCAAGAGGCTTTACAATAAGCAATATTCTTTTATGGGTGGAGCTGAAGTTGGCTAGATGACAATAATGTTTAGATCAGATAGATAGATTTGGCTAATACATGCATCGAGAGTTCCGAGCTTCCAGCTCGACCGCACGGCATTGTGGGTATTTTTTTCAAAAAGGTGGGGATCAAATCACGCTGCCGTATTGGATTACTTGTTGCGAACGTGATCTCTCTCTCTTGTTTCCAGCCCATAGATTGTTTTAATAGCTAAAAAATTCACCAATTTCTGACATTTTGAAGGTAAGGTAAAGATTTTTTCATGTAACAAAAAAGCAATGCTTTTTTTTCTTTTGGTTTTAGATGTAAACACAACCGACTGACTATAGAACTACATGTAGCTTATGCTACTTACGAGGATAAATAACATTCAGAGTGGGGACATTATTAAGAACAAACAGTGAGCTGGCAGTACAGAGAGGTGTGCAGAAGGCTTTAAACAAAGTTATTTTCACTTTCTCTGTACACATGTGAAATCTCCGTGCTTAAATATTAGCCTGTCCATACAACTTACAGTACTGCCTCTGAATGTCATCGTCATCACTGAGGTCACTCCTGATTACGTGCCCCAGGTATTTGGCCTTCTCTACACTCAGAAGCTCCACACCAGACAAATATGTCCAAAGTACAGCTTTGGGCAAGCTCTATAGTCAGTCGGTTGTGTTTACATCAAAAACCACAAGAAAAAAATGCATTGCTTTTTTGTTAAATGAAAAAATCTTTACCTTAGCTTCATAATGTCTGAAATTGGTGAATTTTTTAGCTATTAAAACAATCCATGGGCTGGAAACGAGAGAGATCACGTTCGCAACAAGTAATCCAATATGGCAGCGTGATTTGATGCCCACCTTTTTGACAAAACTACCCACAATGCCGTGCGGTCGAGTCGGAAGCTCGGAACTCTTGATGCATGTATAGAAGGAACAGCTTAAGACATAGAGAGGTTTTTAAAGCAGGGATCTGGACATCACTGCTGGGGTCTGACCTGACAGAGGACTTGGACATTCTGTGGTTTATGGTGAGGTACGGCTGGTGGCTGTTGGTGAATCTGGGCCACTGGACGGGAACTCTGCTCTCCCCGATGTTGGGATCACTGTGGACATTAGAAAGCAGAAAGCATAGAGATAAATAAATATATGTGTGGTCTGTTGTGGTCGGATTTCTTCACAAAATGTTACTTAAACAAGACTTTCTGTTGGGGCAAACCCCATGTATTTATGAAGCAACAGAATTCTGAATTAAGGCCCGAACACTTTTTAATGTCAAACTTTTGAAACTTTGAGAATGTACAAAGAGACTGCTTTAGTCCTGCTTCGGTCCTGCTTTAGTCCTGCTTCTTTAGCCCTGCTTCAGTCCTGCTTTTGTCCTGCTTCAGTGCTGCTTTTGTCCTGTTTCAGTCCTGCTTTAGTCCTGCTTCTTTAGCCCTGCTTCAGTCCTGCTTTTGTCCTGCTTCAGTGCTGCTTTTGTCCTGTTTCAGTCCTCTTTCAGTCCTGCTTTAGTCCTGCTTTAGTTCTGTTTCAATCCTGCTTCAGTCCTGCTCCAGATCTCACCCAGTGCGGGCAAAGTTGCTCCAGTACTTGATCATATATCCGGAGAGGTCGCGGTGTCGGGGAAAATAGGCCAGAGAGAAGGAGAAGGGTTTTCCAAACAGATACTGCAGGTCCTCCGCATGCTCTGCTTCCACCCACTTGGGAAACCCTGGAATACGGGTCTTCATGTTGAACAGGTACGAGTAAGTCCGCCCGCCACTAATGTACAAGAAGACATGAAAACAGGGCTTTAATTCAATTTAATGTATCCTTGTACAGCCCTAAATACAACAGTAGTTATTCCGGAGGACTTTGAAAAACTGTTGAATTTGTCAACACAGATCAGAGAATCAAACAATTCAAACACAAGAACTTGAGTGTTTAGACTTTCACTTTAAGGGAACATGCAAACATTAAGACTAGATTATTTGAACTGTTTTACTTCACATTTACCCAAGTTGTATTAGTTGTATTTATCATCTTCTTTGCTGAGACAATCCATCACATACACTACTACGCAGGTGTCTTTTAAAAGGCCACTTTAGACAGAAACTAGAACACACATAGACTGCGACCCACGGTTCACCTGCTGTATTTGGCGTGCAGCTTCAGGGCGATCTGAGTGGGCACCAGGAACAGGAAGTCCGTCTCTATGTCGGCCACGCTCTTCTTCAGTTTGGACGGATCTGGAGGAGAGCCCCAAGTCGCTGAGTACAGCTCCTCAGCCCGATCCAGAATTGGTCCAGACTTCTCTTTGGTGAGACCGGCAAGGACCGCGCGCACCTGAGCCCTGGAGATACACAGAGTAAGTATCCCCTACCACTAAGAACATGTACAATAGGAATGAGTGTGTGTGTGTGTGTGTGTGTGTTGTCAGGGCGAATGGACCCAAATCCGTTGTATTTATGGTTGTTCATTAATAATCACTAACATGCTCCACCAGTGACATTTATAGACAACAGAAATTATTTACAGTGACTTATTATGTAAAACCATCCATTTTCTCTCTGTCAGAGCCACTTCAGAGCCAAGTTCAGACACACAAAATATCAAAAATAGAGTACCATGGACTTCACTGTCATATTTGTTCAGAACTGAGAACATGTGGGGAACAACTCCCAGAGACCGGTGTGTGTTGTTGTGGAAGGGCTTCTTACTGCGTGGTATTGGCTTCGTTTTGGTTGATTGACGGCACATCGACTCCTGCAAAGATATGTCCATCCATGCTATTGACCCCTGCCATGTAGTCGAATTGGCCCGTGTTGGAAAACAGTTTACTGGGCTCGTCTGGGATGAAGTCTCCATCTACCACTGGGGCCAGCTCCAAGAGATCCATCACCACGCCTTTAACAGAACAACACCATCGTCTTTATATAGCGTATCAGAACATAAACACAATATTCAACTTTTCACTTACAGTAATCATGGCCAAAAACCACCATCAAAAACACACTACATTTTTCTAAAGCACACAGGGAGTAATATGTTACTTTCTAGAGGAGGATTATGTTTGGCCATAATGACAATCGTTGACAATGTTGGAGGAGAAAAGATGAGGCATGGAACTGAAGTAAAACCTCCTTGAAGCACGGGGGGGCAGCATCATGTTGTGGGGGGTGTTGCTGCAGGCATCATTACGACCCCACTCCTGCCCCCTCTCTCTGGGCCCAGGACTCCCCTGAAAAAGAAATTCTGAAACCTCTGTTGGTTAAATAAAGAATTATGAAGCTTGGTCTTATGGGTGTTCCAAATGGACAACAACCCTAAGAACGCTTCCAAACTTATCCAAAAATGCCTCAAGGACACAAGGTCGGAGGTCGAGGGCCCATCACAGTCCACAAACTCAATTACCTCAGATCTGTCAGCATGTAGAAGGCTCCGCAAAATGCTTGTCTCAAGTTAAACAATGTAAAGGCAATTCTACCAAATATTAACCTTGTATGTAAATCTAAGAAGCTCAAATGTTCAAAATTAACTTTATCAAAATATTGCATTAATCAAGGTGATCTAGACCCATTTTATTTGGATTAAATTGTAAAAAGCCTGGAGGAAAAGAATTGTTTTTAAACTGTATGTAAACTTTTGCTTTCAAAGTTAGATCGATGCATCACTATATTTTGTAATTTTTTGTGACGTAAGCAGTTAACGCCAACACAACTGCCTTAATTGAGCAGTTGTAGGTTTGTAATACTGTATTGCATTAGAGTAACCAGAGTTGAAGTATTGAGTATTGCATGTGTAGCATTTGTAGCAGTGTAAGTATTTGTAGTACCTTGTCCGAGCAGCAGCAGGATGTCGATCTTTCCCGCCATCGTGAGTCCCACTGGGTCCGTCATCTTCAGGCACGTCAGCATCAAGTCCACATCTGTCCGCCAGCAGCCCACTTTACTGGCAATCTGAGCAAAACCATCAAGACGCATGGTTCAACACAATGTGCTTTCAGAAAAGAATGTCGTGCATAACCATAAAACATACTAAAAAGGACACGTAATGTCAAAAACAATAACATTGTGTTTTTGTGTTCAGATTCATGATACTTACTTTACTGTACTTTCTATCCATCCATCCATCCATTTTCTACCCTTTAATCCATTTCTGGGTCAGGGGGGTGGCAGTCAGAGATGCCACCCAAGTCTCATAGCACCAGCCCCTCACTGACCCTCTGCAGGTGGTGAGTCCACAGGAGGACAGCTGCTCTCTGAGTGTGAGCAGAGCCTTGATCTTTCAGTGGGGGCTTTTGGGCAGAGTGGGGTTAAGTGTCTTGCCCAAGGACACAACGACAGCAGTCATCAGTGGGAGTCGGTGGAGAAGGTGCAGAGGTGGGAATTGAACCCACAACCTTCTGGCCTTAAGGCCAATGCTCTACCAACTGAGCTACTGTCGCCCTTGCTGTACTTTCTATAAAAGCATAATTTCTTATGTAGAATTATATAATCTTCATTTGATTATTTTCTATCATTTAAAAGTGCATGGGATTCATATAAATCTTGATGCAGATAAAAAAAGAAATAGTTACAGTTTCCACAATTTTTCTTGTTTAATTGTACATTGTTGTAATTTGTGTTTCTTTCCTCTTTCTTCACAGACCGTGACCTTTCTTCACATCACCTTCATGTTCAAGCATGTTTTCAAGCATGTCAGTGGTATTAGGAGGTGGAAAGTATCACAATCCAAATAAATAATATAAATTTGCTGTTATTTTGCTGGACACACAGACCTTCTTGAGGAGGCTGAGGGGCTCTCTCTGATGGGCCCATGGGCTCAGAGCCACCCCACACTGACTGATCGCTCTGCGAAAGAGGCCTCTGCTGTACGGAGACAGCATCTGCAGAGACGAGCAACGGTTACACACGTTTGAGTCAACTATTACACAATACAGAGTCATACATCGTCCAATCATGATGAGTGGGCCCTGCCGAACAAACATTTTTATAGGGATTATACCTTTGATTTATGATGGCAATATTAGGAACTTATTATAAGGTATTTATAAATCCACAAAAACTTTACTATAATTTAGATTAAACTAAAGCAAAAATTCCCCATTGGCAGATCTCATGTAATTATACAAATTAGATTATTATTATTACTATTTTGTACATAATTTTTGCTTTGTACTACTCAATGCATATAAAACAATAATTGGTGATAATATGCAGCATTTTAAATTGTTTACAGTATATACAAAACTTTGGGTCGCTGCTTGGCATTCTACATCCTCCTGTTGAGAACAACTGGACTAAACTATGTGCATGAGAACACTTTTATTATCCATCCATCCATCTTCTTCCCCTTCATCCATTTCTGGGTCGGGGGGGTGGCAGTCAGAGCTGCACCCAATTCACTTAGCACCAGCCCCTCACTGATCCTCTGCAGGTGGTGAGTCCACAGGAGGACGGCTGCTCTGTCAGTGACAATACAGCCTTGATTTTTCAGCGGGGGCTTCAGGCAATGCAGGGTTAAGTGTCTTGCCCAAGGACACAACGACAGCAGTCATCATTGGGAGTCGGTGGAGAAGGTCCCATGGTGGGCTTGAACCCACGACCTTCAGGCTCAAAGGCCAGTGCTCTACCAACTGAGCTAACTGAGCTACTGTCGCCCCTACTGAGCTACTGTCGCCCCTTGTCGTTTAACTTTTATTATCATTATTATAAATATTATAATAATATTATTGTTGCACTGACCTGATAGCTGACACTGGCAGCTCCGGCGGACTGCCCAAATATGGTCAAGTTGTCTGAGTTTCCTCCAAACTTATCAATGTTTCTCTTGACCCAGGAGATGGCAGCATGCTGGTCCCACAGGCCATAGTTCCCTCAGACACAAAACACATCGGCTTCTCAGTATCAACAGCCATGATTCATCAGGTTATGTTAAGAACTATCTTTACTTAGGTCCTGGAATATAGTCCACTATTTTTTGCGTTCACTCCTTAAATCCAAATTCTTCTACTTTTTACTCTTAACATTAAATTACGAGTTACCTTGAATTAAAACAGGATTGAAGGATTTTATTTGTTGTGCTTAACTGTACACGTTTTGTTTATTGTCATATCCTCTGCTAGTATGAAACCATTCTACAACAATATAATGTCCACCGATTATTCAATAAAAATGCATTTTACTTTTTTACTGACGTGCATATAAAGCATTTATATTTCTTTCCTAAATACAGGAATTATAATACAGTGTTCATCCTACTACCAATCAATCACAATATTAAACTTCTATATTCACAAAATAAAAAGAAACAGGGTACAAAATAAACAAAAATATAGTTTGGAAATGTTAAAAGTAAAAGTTATACTAGTTTACAATTAAAGTTTACTACTTTAATTTACAGTGAATGTCAGTCACTTTTCAAATTGTGAAGAGAGATTGAAACTTTTGGAAGACAAGCAGTCAGACTGGTGCTTACCCCACAGCATCCAGGTTGTTCAAAGTTAATTCAAATCCTCGGACTTACTGTACACAACAGTACAGTATCCCACGGTCAGACAGACGGTTACATCTGCTCCCAGCCCCATTTCTTTTTATTGTTTTACCTATTTTACCTGATATGACTTTATACTTGTGTATATGTGTGTGTGTGTGTGTGTGTGTGTGTGTGTGTGTGTGTGTGTGTGTGTGTGTGTGTGGGTGTGTGTATTGTATATATAATTATAAATGTGATTTTGGGGGGTCTGTGGGGAGGAGGGTTTAGGGCTGGGCATGTTGGATTGTTTTTAACTAAACTGTAAAGCACTTTGTGTTACACTTTTTGTATGAAAAGCGCTTTATAAATAAAATTTGATTGATTGATTGATTGATATACTGTACATGCTTCAAAAAAAGGATAAACAATATAAGTCCCTGCCTCCTCTGCGTGTGGGTATAACTCAGTGTAGTCTGTTTTCCCACTAAATTTGGATTCACTCTGTAGTAAAGTAAACTGATGCATCAGAAATGTTCTAAATGAGAATCAAATATTTTCCAGATGGGAGAAAAGATATAAATAATCATAATCATAATATTTGCTTCAGGTGTGGTTATTATTTGTACTTTATGAATAAATAAATAAATATGTGAGCTTTATTGGCACATTACAGTTAGAAGAGGACACACTACATGAGTACACTGGTGTTTAATCCAGTTTATAGTAAAACACGTTTCAGGTTGAGTTTAAATAAAGGGACTGTTTCTCCTCAGTCCTGATTACTGATGCAATCCACCTAAGAGCCAACACCAGCTAAATTTCCCATTTTTATAAAGTGACAACCCAAATGAGAGCCTCATTCTGCTTTCTGATAGGATAATGTGTCATTAATGTTGTTTTATATCTTTAACATTTTGATATAATGGACATATCTTTAACATGTCCATTATATCTTTAACATTTTGTTCACAAAAGGGAAAATATGATTTGTACATGTGACCTGTTGTCAAATGATGATAATACATACTGTCCATTTAAGATCTTTATTCACCCTGGATTTAATACATTAAAATAATTAATAAATTGGTTTTTTTTTGGTTCATAACTTAACATAAACTCAAACTTTTCTTCTGGCATTCTATGTTTTAGGACTTTTAGAAAATAGTGTAAACATCCCACGGATTGTAGTGCTGAAAATTCTTGATAAAAGAGTGGATTATAGCTAAAGCGATTCATTACGTAAAATATTCTATGGTTAAGTTCTTTGTTTGGATGAAGCAGAAAACTTGCAATGTTGTTTAGGGGCCAGAGTGAAAGTGAAATGGAATCTCAGGACTAAGATATAGTGAAAAAGAGCATATGTCATTTCCCTACAGGTCAAACTGTTGGGACATTGTTCAATTATTATTTTTTTCTCACCACCTGTGCTCTTTTCCAGCTTTATTTGCAAGCGCTCCGAGATAACCAGAAATGTCTCCACTGTGGTACGAATAAAGGATCTTTTAATCTTAACTCGGGGTTAGGCTGGGAAACCAGCAGCTGACTTCAAAGGCAAAAAGCTTAAACAAACACACACAGTGCTTCATTCAAAAACATTTTATCATATAACTTTGGTTGAATATTTTCTATAGAGGAGAAATCTATATCCAGAGTTTAAAGCCCTGCTTTTTAAAATAGTCTTGTCATTTTAACTTTGAATCTTGTATTCACTTTTAAGAATTTAATTTATTAGCCATACCTGTTCTAGTCTAGATAGGAGGCTAAGCAGTGCAGGTGCAGAACAGAACTGTGATGGGAGGCTGCTTTAATACCAGATGCCACAGGAAGTTTTTTCAGTGTTATGTAGAAAAGACAAAATACAAGCACAATGCAAAAATGTATTTATAAAACAGATGGAGATTTGGGTCATAGTTCTATACCTGGCATCCGGTGGTCGCCGCTGCTGAGGAAGCCGAGCGTCCCCACTCTGTAGTTAACTGTGACCACAATGACGGTTCCTCTGTCGGCCAACTCCACTCCATCGTACAGAGACTGACCCAGGAACTCCACATCATTAGAGGCCCCCAGCAGGAACGCACCCCCAAAAAGATACACCATCACAGGCAAGTTCCGGGACACTGGGGAGAGGAGGACATCGGTCATCTTCTTATTATGACTCCAAGTTCATTGACATATGATTTTCAATACTGTATAACGCTTTTATGCAGTTTTTGTTGCACTAATGTATTGACTTTATAGATTTTTTGATGAGGAGGATTTAGTATTAATTAGTATTAATTCAGTAATTTTCATCCCTTTATTTCCATTTCTGGGTCAGGGGAGTGGCAATCAGAGCTGCCACCCAATTCACAATGCACCAGTCCCTCGCTGATCCTCCTGCAGGTGGTGGGTCCACAGGAAGATGGCTGCTCCTTCAATGCATATACGGCCTTGGTCTTTCAGCAGGGATTTCAGGCAAAGTGGGGTTAAGTGTCTTGCCCAGGGACACAACGACAGCAGACCAGTGGGACCAGATGACATGGGTCGTGGTGGGATCGAACCCAAAGACCAATGCTCTACCAACTGAGCTACTGTCGCCCCCATTAGTACCTATCTATCAATAATATCTATCTATCAATCTATCTAGAGTTAGTCGAAGTTTAGATGTTCACTTACAAAGACTTGCAAGATTGTGAATCGTTATAAAAGATACAACATTACTTTTAACTTTACATGGAAAGTTAAAAGGTTAAGTTAAAACTATATTTTCCAAAGATTGTAGGCAAAGGAACAAGAACTAGCGAGACAAGGACGAGTTGTTATTATGGAGATGCGAGCCCGCTTACAGTAAAAACACCTGCTTTGATACATACGCCTACCTTTTGTCAGTTTCATCAAATGTTCTTAATAGAATAGTAGAAAGTGTTCATATGTAACAAATTCTGCTTCTCATTTAGTAAATTTAGTTCAAAAACATTAAACATACAGTATAACAAAGTGTTGTGGACCAGGATCAAACCATATGAGGAGTTACTCTAAAATCAAAATTGAAGGACTGAAGCAGGACTGAAGCAGGACTGAAGCAGGACTAAAGCAGGACTAAAGCAGGACTAAAGCAGGACTGAAGCAGGACTAAAGCAGGACTGAAGCAGGACTAAAGCAGGACTGAAGCAGGACTGAAGCAGGACTGAAGCAGGACTAAAGCAGGACTAAAGCAGGACTGAAGCAGGACTGAAGCAGGACTGAAGCAGGACTGAAGCAGGACTGAAGCAGGACTAAAGCAGGACTAAAGCAGGACTAAAGCAGGACTAAAGCAGGACTGAAGCAGGACTGAAGCAGGACTAAAGCAGGACTAAAGCAGGACTAAAGCAGGACTGAAGCAGGACTAAAGCAGGACTAAAGCAGGACTAAAGCAGGACTAAAGCAGGACTAAAGCAGGACTAAAGCAGGACTAAAGCAGGACTAAAGCAGGACTAAAGCAGGACTAAAGCAGGACTAAAGCAGGACTTACACTTGGTTCCCTGCGGCACAAAGATGTTAAGGTAGAGGCAGTCCTCGGAGCCTTGGGTCTTGGTTTGTAGCAGGTTGATCTGAAGGCAACGCTCCTTATACTGAGTCGCCTTCAGCACACCTTCATAAGCACAGAAGACAGTACAGTTAGAATACAGTTCATTTGTTTCTGTAATACAACTTACAGCAATAGTGTACATTCTTGTTTTCCTTTTAGTGAAGGGAACTATATTTTATTGGACGATATTTTTATTCCAACCCTTTGTATTGTATTTGTATTTATTTTGATCTCCATTAGCTGTTTAACACAGCTATTCTTCCTGGAGTCAAGCAAGGTGCATAAACAAAAATACGTGTCAAGAATTATACTAAAATAAAAAACAAAAATGATACAGATGACGACAACACACACACACACACTTTCAATTGTCAATGGTGGTTAGAAAGATTACAGCACAGTTGCAATATCACATGTTTATACTAATTTTTTAATAGATGTCTTTTTAAAAGGATTTTAAATTGGTATTTACTGTTTGCATTAATCATGTCATTCAGAAGATGATTCCAGGCAAACATTGACCTGTACATCACAGTCGCTTTTCCATAATTTGTTTTTACTTTGGGTAACTTGAATCTGCCTTCTGTGGCGTATCGGGTTTCATAGTTGTGCTCACCAGAACTAAAACTCTTGATAAAGCACAGATGGAATTTTGTTAATAATTCTTGTGAAATTGAGAAACAATGCCTCAAATCTCTCTTTCACCATTAACCAAAACAAACATGTATGCATCAACTTTACATTTGTTCTGTAAGTACATTGAAGAGCACATCGAGCTGCCTTGTTTTGAACCATTTGTAACTGCCTAATATTTGATAAAGCAGCACACGACCAAATTTCAGAACAATAATCCAACTGTGAAGTGTTTTTATGACATCTGCTGTCGTGTTGAGCGGTAAGAGATGGGAGCATCTTCTAACCATTGACAGACTCCCATTCTTTGTGCTACTGTGCTCGTGTGTTTGGACCATAACAGTCTCCTATCAGTTTCCACTCCCAGTAGTTTGGTCTCATGAACTTGCTCCACACTTGTATCGTTGACAGTTAAATTTAATTTAGGCTCGTCCAACAGCATACATCTGGTTCCAGACACAATACTATGTGTTTTGCTAATGTTTAACGCTAGTTTATTGTTTTTGACCCACTCATTGACACATTTTAAATTTTCCATTAATACAGTTTTGAGTTCTTCAATAGTATTTTGGAATGAATAAATTGGAGTCATCAGCGTACATAGTGACTTTAGCATTCTCTACTACTAATGGCAAATCATTTGTGTAAATATAAAACAGGAGAGGACCTAAACAACTTCCCGTTGTATCCCACAGCTAACATTCTGTATCCGAGTAGCTTCCATTGAAGAAAACAGTTTGTCTCCTGTTTTCTAGATATTTTTCAAGCCAGAGTGATGCAGTTGGACTGAAACCATAACATTTCATTTTCCTCAGCAAAAGTTTGTGGTCGATAAGATCAAAGGCTGAACTAAACTTTATCATGGTTGTGATGCATTCTCACAAATTTACACTTTGGACCTAATTAACCTCAGTATTAACACAGTATCCACGGTTTGGTCGCTGAAATTAAATGTTGACAATCTATCAACATGTGATTCACTGTGTCAGAAGCCTCCTTAAAACAAAGGTATGTTCATCCAAATATTTGACTCCTTCACAACAAAGACACAGACAACCGTTTTGTTCGAGTGAATAGATCCGACCTTGGAATGTTCCACACTCTAAAAACAGATTGGTGGGAAAAATGGCCGATCTCACTGGTATTGGTTGGATTTATCACATGAATTCACATCTGTTGTGCTATATGGACGTGTGATGGTTGGCCAAGAATAATTTAGCACCATGACCGATACAAATTGCTGAAAATACAACTAGTTATGGATTAGTTGTTTTAACACAACAATCGGTTGGACACATAACTACCAAGTAGTTAAGTGTAGCATTCCAACAAAAAGAACTTTTCTCCGCTTTAAACACAAGCCCAAAGTATTTTTTTCAGTGATTCCCTCAAGCTTTAGTTAGAGAGCAATCTTCCTTTTTCATTCTTGAGAGGCAACAAAACGCCAGAGTTCACATCTATGATGCTCACGACATCGATGACACGGATGACGCAGAATCCTGTGTCGTCAGCCTTAAATCATCATCATCGTCATTTGCCTGTATCAAAGTGCTGTAGTGAAAGCAGTAATGTGTCTACTGACAACTCACTTATTTCACGTTATCAATTATGTATTCCGTCTACATCCTGCTTTGTGTGATGTATCAATATTGTACATACTAATAACACTTTTCTTATTTTTCAGTGTGTTCTATATTCCTACAGCTCTTGAACTGAATGTTAGCGCTGCAACACTGACATTCCATCACTTTGGCATGAATAACTGCTCTCTTTTTATTTCTTATCTTAAACATGTAAGCAAATTGCAAACTTGTCCCTAAAACACTAAACCAGAGTGTGAACTGGGTCTTGGGGCCTTGGGGTCAGCACCATTCCATCCTGGGTGAGGTTTGGGTTTCTCCCATCTTTGGGGGACGTCAGCGAAGGGGATTCCTTTAAAAACGTCCACACTGCTGAAGAGACCAGTGCTCTTACTGCGGCCCTCTACAGCGCCACCTTCAGTTTGCACCACGCCCAACTGAAAACACACACCGAAAAGGAGCTTAGAGAAGTTACATTATACAAAATCAACCTTTTGTTCACTGTTGTTTTTAGATCCATCTTCACAAATATTAGGAACTTCTGGCACAAACATGTAACTCCACCCCTTCTGTCTAAAAATTCCAGCCTCAAACCAATTTCCTGTGAAACACCTCATATTGTAATTGCCAAAACTAATTTATAATATTTATTCCTCAAAAGGGCAGTTTAAATCTCCAATGTCTACGTTGAAATTCAATCCTGTTTCTTTTCTATTCAGGAATAGAAGGATTTTGTTTAAAATATATATACAGGGTAAAGTCAGGGGCTCTTCACTGGAGATCCCCAACAAACAAATCCTAAATCTATTGTGTTTGATGTAAGCAGAGGTATAAAATCAGACACAGATTCAACAATTGTTGTTCATAATATCGCAATAAGAAAAAAGATATTAGCACCATAGTCCAAAAGAATGCTATTAAACCCATTTCTCCCCAAACTTATAATAGAACAAGCTCAACAATTTCACATTACAAACAAGTTTCTGATTAGAATTAAGAAAGCAGTCCTTGTAATGAATATTGAAGAAACTGTTCCATGTGTTGTTGATGGACTATTTCTTAATAGTGTTTTTTTTACCTTTGCAGCTGACGCTAAGTGCCCCATGAAAAGTAGAAAAGTCACAGCTCGAACCTCCATCGTCCTGTGAAATAATTATCCAGAGAAAACAGATCCTACTGTCCCAGCAGCAGCAACAGTAGGACTGATACTTATACCAATCCTTATCTGAACACATGCCCAAGTAACATGTGGTTGGCTCCTTGTCTGCTCTACTCCAACACCATTTACACAAGGTATTTTACAAAAGTTATTTTCACAAGTGTTCATTTGAATAGGTTTTTTCCTAAAATGTAGAAGAGCATTGCTGATCAAGTAAGTCACTTTTTTCTTCAATCAATAGTAATTAAATCAACAGCCTTATTCAGTTGAAATGTAGTTGTTTTCTTTTCTAAGTAAATCTAGATGTATAGATTAACTAATCTGATGAGTGAAAGTCTGGAGGTCAGAGGGTCGATCCCAAGGATTGTCATCTGTCAATCTGCAATCAAACAGCTGTGGACAACCACTGTTTGGACTGAAACAAAATAAATTATTTTAACTTAGTGCTTTCTAATCTGGGCTCTTCAGTTCCCCTCACCACCCAAAAACATGCATCATGAGCTCCTCCAGCTCCAGTAATCCTGACCAAGCCGAGCATCAACCTCTGGAGATGGGTCCTTTGGTGCTGCACTGCTGCAAGCACTGCTCCCGACAGAGACCCAAGTGGCATTCACGATGGGTAGAACACATTTCTCTATTTCTCCACAGACAGACAGACAGGCAGACAGACACTTTATCCCCTGTAGGAGAAATTCAGGTTCCCATCAGCAGAATCACATCCAGAGGTGGTGGAGCTTACTTTGTACCACTTGCAAGGAAACCTTGAGTTCCCACAAAAGCGTCATAAAAATAAAATGTATCATTATTATTTGCTTGGTTCGGATCATGTATCCTCTCTGCTCTGGTCAAAATATCTGTATTACAATTTTACAGTTGTAGAGGTATTTCATAATCAAACAGAATATTTTCCTGTAAATGCCAGACTTCATAGCACAGAATACCCCAGCTGATATTTAATACATAAACCGGGATCGTTCTGGATCTCAGGCAAATAGCAGCCAAATACGATGTGACACTATGCTGACTAGTAGTCTACTGCTTGTGAATGAACTTAGAAACACTGCAAAACACTACAAACCTGTATAAAGTTAGAAGCATGGTTTACCATCACCACACCAGTATTGAATTCCCATATGACATTTTGCAGACGTTGTGGTTCGTGCTTGCAAAGTATATTTCAAATTGTGTCATCATCTGCAAAGTTTTCAAGTAACTAACCTAAGTGCTCCCTCTACAGGCGAACAAATGGCTAAACTAATGAGCAACAAGTTTGTTGGGGTTTTACTTATTTTAAATATGTGATGAAAACATGAAGATTGGAACATCTATAGAGCTATGTCCTGTTATTGACATATGCTGATGTGTGTGTGTGAAGCAGGGGTGTCTGTGCGTTAGGGGGTCACTGCTCAGGTTACATTGTGGGCGTGGCCTACTGCTGCTGATGTCTGCGTGCGTCCCGACGTCCCCGACGCATGGCCCGCAGGTAAACAACGGTCCGTCTTTAACTCAGTTTTCTGCTTGTTTTCCGCGGTTTCCCGTTAAAAGTGCTGTGCCCTCGGTAACCGGAGGAACCCACGCAGCGGTACGCAAGTGCACTCGGAGTGTCAGTGAACGTGGGCTGCGTGTGGCTCATGTTTTAGTCGTTAGCATGTTAGCATTAGCCAGTTAAAAGTTCACAGCTGCGTGAGGCGCGTGGCCCCAGCTTGAGCGCCTCCTTCTGCGGTGACGTCAGGTTGAGTTGCAGTAAACATGACTGAATGCGCATGCGCCGTGCTTTTCTCCTTTGCAACTTCTGAAATCACCGTGACTTTGTATTATGTTCAGCTTTAGACATTAGAGGTGAATTTAGATTCAGTGAGTAATAATGAATAGATGAAATCTCATAACCAGTGCTATTCTAGAAGTATAGCATTGATTTCTATGCTGATGCTTAACTTGTTTACAAAGAGTATTATTTGTACCAGCTGAAAGAGTCATAAAAGTAAAATTTTGTAAACAAATCATAGCACTGCATCTCATAAGAAAATGGGTTATCTTTTGCATACTTACCATGTGAGTCACTCTTTGACAAAATGTTTTGAGAGCAAGGAATTCATTCTATTACATTATTTGCAGTTTCAAGAATGTAATATATTATGATTCCCATAGCAAAAAGGACATAATGAAAATAAGCACCCAAGAACGATACTGAAAACCAGGTGTATAAATGAAAGAACACCCAGTCATACTCAGGTAAAAGAAAAAAGATACTTTGGGAAATTGCTACTCAAGTAAGAGTAATTATCTGGACTTAGCATCCATAACTATTACCTGGTTAAAAGTGGTTTTGAAATTAAGAATATGTTTTAATATTTGAGGCCTATAATATTGACCTAGAATGTTCCCAGGTGTTGTGGAACTAACACCTGATGTGCATATAGTGCAGGGTTTTATCTCAGGCTGTAATGATAAATCAATTAATTGCAACTAGCTGATGAATTGTATTGATAATAGATTTTTCAATACTATTACTCAGCAACAATTTTAGTCATCGATTAATTGTGAACTGCGCTAAAGACAGACTACAACGTATGTGCCGTGAAACATAATTTTCAGTCAACAGATTCAAACAAAAAGCTAAAAGCATTTTATTAGGAATTATGTTGATGTCTAATCCAATATAATCGATCTAGAATAGGGTTGGAATTAATTTTTGAATGATTAACAATTATTTTTTCAATATGACGATTGATATTTTATTGAACAGTTCTGTAACTTTGATTATTATCTGTTTAGAATCACAAAATTGACATTCAACATTTTCTAGCTAACCCAGCCCTATGTTAACGTGTTAACATAGGGCATTATTGATTATGTCAATGCGACGTCCCAGCCCCAATCGAGGATAATCGCTAAAAAAAAAGAATGATACTTGGTTACATTCCAAGATTTATCTGTGTGTGTCTGTTCCAGGTGTTAGCCATGTCGCGGGAGCCTACAGCCTTGGACCTGTCTCTGCTGGAGGGCTCCGATCTGAAGGAGGCAGAGCTCGTCAAGAACACTCTGTCACAACAGCTCAACTCAGGTCACACTTTCACTAAATCTAGTCCTGTTTTTAAGTAGTTATTATTGGTAGTCATTGGTAGTTATTAAGCCTTTACAAAGTTTGCATTAACAAAAGAATAGTCAGGGAGATCAAGGGACCGCGCATTTATTTGTAGAGCAAAATTCATACACAGTGTAACTTAAAACCACAACATAATTTTTAAAACAACAAATAATCATATCGTTCAATTTATAATAATAAAGTCCATTTAGCAAAACCCATGCTAAGTTGTGCCGTGACCCAACTGCCTTTATATGGTTTAAAGTGAGAGTATGAGCGTTTAACCTTTTATAGTCGAGTGTCAAAGGAATGCAACACTTCAGTGAAGCTTTTGTCGACCCAAGACTAATCGCAGCGCTGCTATCTAGAGATGTTCTTTTTTGCACTAAAGCTATGATGTCTGCACCCGTGCCTTCAACATGATCAGTTAGAATGCAGTTCAATCTAATAATTGTGGAATCTGACCAGCAGTGTTGTGCGTGAACGAGTTCAAAAGAACGCGTTCATTGAACACGCTCATTTTTTCGTGAACGTTGAACTGAACGCAACACATTTTTAAAAAAGGAACTTGAGCGTGAATTATTTCATTTTATGTGTCATGAACGGCAGACATCACTATGAATGTTGGAATCTGTTTTCTCTTTTGAAACGCAACGAGAGAAAGTTCCTCCCTCCTGTATTCTCGCACTTTTTCCGCTAAAATAAAAAAATTCCTACGGTTTCCACCGTCTGTGAACGCACCCCGACTCCGTGTTGCGGTGCGGCACTGAGCTAGTGCCTTCCAAATGTGCCCGAGTCGTGATGAAAACGCAGGGTGAGTTAGCGACAAAGTTTACACAGTTTACATTTGACATAAAGTATAGACACACGCACTGCAGCGCATTACTGTCTGTAGTTTATGAGCAGAGATGGGGCAACTCCGTTTTGCTCCCATTGAAAACCATGTAAATCTAGTTTGTTTTGTAGTTAAAAGGCTCTCCTCCTGTGGGTGTACAGGAGATATATATATATATATATATTATATATAACCCTTGTCACCTTACATTGTGTGCACCATGTGCACTTGTATATTGTAAATAGTAACTGTAACTCTATTTTAAATTAAAATTTATTCCTTAGAAGTGTTTTTTATTCTTTATGTGTATTATCTCTTTCTGACTGTTGCACTGAGCCAAAGCAATTTCCAAGTCTGTGACTTCCTGTTACTTACGTGGCAATAAAAATGATTCTGATAGATATATATAGCTCGTAGTGTGAAAAAAAAGTATTTATTTGACTATTTCACGAAAAAAGTAAAATGAACTGAACTTTGAACTAGTTCAGAATTAAAATTGTGAACTTTGAGCATGTATGAACTGAACTTGAACTAGTTCAGAAAAGCTGTGAACTGGCACAACACTGCTGACCAGCATGTTAGACTTTGAAAAATGTTCAGGGAATAATGTTCATTACATTTAAGGCCATGCAGACCTTTCTTATATTCAGATTGTCTGTACTCTTATTAATAAATCAAGCATGGTTTGGAGTCTGTTCTGACATATTTCTGACGCACATTGTTACGCATCCTACAAAAGGCTGTGTCTTCTTTTGTTCGATCGTTAAGGACTCCAGAATAATACTAATGCGACCGCTGCTGCCTCTGTCGTGTGGTCTTGAGAATTTTTTGGAAAAAGCTGAATTGAGTTTGCTTGGGTAGCACAGTCCATATTAGTTTATCATGATCCCTGCATAGCTAGTGTTCAAATATTTCATTCCTTTCCTTTTAAACTTTTGGAACAAACTATTGAAACAAAGAAATACATGATTAACATGCAGTTCCTCTCTCAGATAGAGGAGGTGCTATCCTGTCGTCCTTGGTGGACTTTTACCTGGAGACTTCTTCTTCTCAGTCTGTTTCTCTGCTGTCAACCACCAGGGAGCAGCTGCACAAGGTACACACAATACACATGTGTCCGACTGCCAAGAAGAAAACATTGTTACAGTGTTTAATATAAGCATTACAAGGCTAGGCTTGCACTCTTGATAGTGCATGAAATGCCCATGAATGTAGATGTATCTAGAACTGTGAAGCCTCCTAATGAATCAAATGTAAAGTTATCTAAAAGAAAAAGAGTGATGTTGAAAGAAATGTGTTTTCTGAAGGCGCTGCTGGAGAAGCTGAATGATGCATTGAGTAAATCTACTACAAGGTTGGCTGCTTTGACGCTGCTGGGTCACCTGACCAGGAAGCAGCCTCCATGGGTACACCTGGTCACTCGCTGCCCCCTGCTGGCCTCTCTTCTGCGCTGCCTCAAGGTCTGGGTTCAATTAGCCACAATTGTCTTAGTTTTAACATTTGTATCAAGAAGATGTGTAGTTGTAGTTCTCATTTATGAAACCTCCTTCAACATAAATCTGAAACAAACAAAGAAACAACTCTTTTGATGGTTTCAGACTGATGGTGACGCAGTGGTCCTTTCCACTGGAGTCCTGGTGCTGGTAACTCTGTTACCCATGATCCCTCAGTGTGGGAAGCAGCTAGTTTATGACTTCTTTGATGTGTTTGGACGATTGGCTTCGTGGAGCCTCAGGAATCCTGGTAAAACCACAACACACAACTGGCATCTATGAGGCACATCTAACGTCCCCTATTTCTGCAGTGCATGTTGTAGAAGCCTGGAGCATGCACACCGCATGCCGCGCTTATGTGTATTTTTGACGCGCCTTTTTGACAAGCCTGCTCTGCTGCGGAGAGGCGTGCAGCTCTTGCAGTGTGTCTATAACCATTCTGCCTTGCATATTCCATGAAGATTCGGTCAGATCTATAAATATTGGCACATGAATAAATTTCTCATATTGTTAAATAAGAAGTGCTTTTACTGCAAAGTCTAATCTTGAATTGAAGCGAACACTAACTGAGGGCGAATGGATAGATTCACTTTGGAATTACAATGCTTACTACTTGTGGATGTCTCCAAAGTAATGGGACAACTCTGGATACACAATATAAACATATTGGCTGCCAAATATGACATATGCTGTCACACCGCTAATTCTGATAATAAGATTCTTCTTTTTAATAAATTCAATAATTTTGACCTAAAAACACATTGATTTTGAGCTTTTCTCTGGCTTTCCAATCTCGTTTGTCATTGGTCCTGTTGTGTTTTCAGCTCAGGTGCCTGTGCTGCAGCTGCTCCATCTGCAGGGGGCGCTGTACTCTCTGTTCCACAGGCTGTACGGCATGTTCCCAGTAAACTTCCTGTCCTACCTTCGCCTACACTATAGCATGAAGGAGAACACGGACACCTTCCACAGAGTCGTCAAGGTCTGGACACTGGAAAGCACAAAGCTCAAATCAATTTTTACAAAAGAAAGCAATAAAAGCATCCATTTACAAAAGCCAAGAATCAAGAAGAGAATACAATTCAGACTAGAATAAATGGTTGTATTGATTCAAAATTCAATGCATTCCATGCATGAAATAATGTATTGCAGTCTATATTATTGTAATTCATAACATATTACACAAATGGTAAAGCTACCACTGGCATTAATACTTGTTTTGCTTTGCCCAATCACTTAAAATGTCTTTCTATAACAAAGCTATGAACTTGTTCCCTCAAGCTAAATGTCCCATTTTATTGAGCAAGTGTCAATAAGTCCTCCATGAGAAATCACCATCTCTATCACTGCACTGTAACTTACTGAAATTTGTTTATTTGGTTCAGCCGATGTTGGATCACGTCAGAGTCCACCCTGAACTGGTCACAGGAACTCAGGACCATGAATTGGACCCAACCAAGTAATGTTCCATTTCACACACTCTTCCTCTGTTACAGTCCTTTTTCTCAGCCGTTGCACAGTTTTATGAAATGTGTGATAAAATCAGATCTCCCAGATCAAGTCCCACTCTTTGCTCCACACTGAAAGACCAATATCTGAATTTTCAAACTGCAATATGACTGGGCAGAGAATCTTGAGAAAGAATCAATATCTGGAAATGTGTGTGCTGCACTGAAGAACTAGTGCTTGGGTATGGAAGATTTTATATATTTTTAATATTTTTAATATCAGATTTTGAATTTTAAATGAGCTTAATGTTTTCCATTTTAAATGTTTAACCCTGAAAAAGCATGTTTCAGTATTTTTGTCTTTCAGTTTACAAATGTCAATGTTATTAAAATTTCAAAATGACATATTTGCTTTTGAAATATTCAATGTTTATTTTCAAGCCTCAAATTCAATGCACTGCCAAAGACTGATAATTTGTTGAATCAGATATTGAATTTTAAATTTGACCTGAATTCATCTATTTGAATTTTTTGTCTGTGAATTTCAGTCACTGATTATCAATTTAAAAATGTTTTTCATTTAAAAAAAAAAAAATTGATGCATATATTTTCAAGAGCTTGAATTCAATTGTCTAAATTCGGGGGGAAAAAAATACATTGATGAAAAATTCACATGACACATCCGGTGTTCTGACGAGTTCTGTGCTCAGTCAAGTTGGTCTGCGCATGCGCAAGTGAACTCTTTTCCCTTCACCTAAGTGAAGAGAATCTCTCGTTACAATGGACATATTAATAACAGTTTAACGTTCTGTCAGTTGAACTTCTACTTTGCTTCAATGTGGATTAGATACATCTTAACTGCAAATGAAAACATAGGGGTGTGGGAGCCAAGCTAAGTTTAGTCAGTAGGCTATTTTGCATGTAGCACACGGTGTATATTAGGGTGCTACCAGTTTGTTTGTTTAATTGGCATAAAGTAATAACTTATTTAGCGTTATTTGTTTTATTAATATTTGACGTGAGCCCCCGTTGAAAGATCAGTGCCAATGGAGAGGCAGACCGGTGTGGTGGTCCCTCTCACATGCCTCAGCCTCCCTGGTAAGGTCTACTCCAAGGTACTGGAGAGGGGACTACAACCGATGGTCGAATCTCGGATTCAGGAGAAGCAGTGTAGTTTTCATCCCGGTGTTCTGTCGAGTTGGTCTCCCTCAGCTGTTAATGATGTAATGCAAACCTGCGCTGCGCGTCTCACGGCAGCCGAAGCAAACCAAGATGGCGGACATAAAGTCAGCGAATTGCTTTAAAAATTAATATACGAACAAATTAAGACACAAATGTCACTTTTAATGCAATTTGAGGCGAGATGTTGATGGTTCCATGTTGTGATACAGTGCCTTGCGAAAGTATTCGCCCCCCTTGAACCTTTCAACATTTCGCCACATTTCAGGCTTCAAACATAAAGATATAAAAATTACATTTTTTGTCAAGAATCAACAAGTGGGACACAATCGTGAAGTGGAACGAAATGTATTGGATAATTTAAACTTTTTTAACAAATAAACTGAAAAGTGGGGCTTGCAATATTATTCGGCCCCCTTGCGCTAATACTTTGTAGCGCCACCTTTTGCTGCAATTACAGCTGCAAGTCACTTGGGGTATGTCTCTATCAGTTTTGCACATCAAGAGGCTGGAATTATTTCCCATTCTTCCTTGCAAAACATCTCGAGCTCAGTGAGGTTGGATAGAGAGCGTTTGTGAACAGCAGTCTTCAGCTCTTTCCACAGATTCTTGATTGGATTCAGGTCTGGACTTTGACTTGGCCATTCTAACACCTGGACACATCTATTTGTGAACCATTCCATTGTAGATTTGGCTTTATGTTTTGGATCATTGTCCTGTTGGAAGATAAATCTCCGTCCGAGTCTCAGGTCTTTTGCAGACTCCAACAGGTTTTCTTCCAGAATGGTCCTGTATTTGGCTCCATCCATCTTCCCATCAATTTTAGCCATCTTCCCTGTCCCTGCTGAAGAAAAGCAGGCCCAAACCATGATGCTGCCACCACCATGTTTGACAGTGGGGATGGTGTGTTCAGGGTGATGAGCTGTGTTGCTTTTACGCCAAACATATCGTTTTGCATTGTGGCCAAAAAGTTCGATTTTGGTTTCATCTGACCAGAGCACCTTCCTCCACTTGTTTGGTGTGTCTCCCAGGTGGCTTGTGGCAAACTTTAAACAAGACTTTTTATGGATATCTTTGAGAAATGGCTTTCTTCTTGCCACTCTTCCATAAAGGCCAGATTTGTGCAGTGTACGACTGATTGTTGTCCTATGGACAGACTCTCCCACCTCAGCTGTAGTTATCTGCAGTTCATCCAGAGTGATCATGGGCCTCTTGGCTGCATCTCTGATCAGTCTTCTCCTTGTTTGAGATGAAAGTTTGGAGGGACGGCCGGATATTGGTAGATTTGCAGTGGTCTGATACTCCTTCCATTTCAATATAATTGCTTGCACAGTGCTTCTTGAGATGTTTGAAGCTTGGGAAATCTTTTTGTATCCAAATCCGGCTTTAAACTTCTCCACAACAGTATCTCGGACCTGCCTGGTGTGTTCCTTTGTCTTCATGGTTCTCTCTGCGCTTTAAATAGAACCCTGAGACTATCAAAGAACAGGTGCATTTATACGGAGACTTGATTACACACAGGTGCATTCTATTTATCATCATCAGTCATTTAGGACGACATTGGATCATTCAAAGATCCTCACTGAACTTCTGGAGTGAGTTTGCTGCATTGAAAGTAAAGGGGCCGAATAATATTGCACGCCCCACTTTTCAGTTTTTTCTTTGTTAAAGAAGTTTAAATTATCCAATACATTTCGTTCCATTTCATGATTGTGTCCCACTTGTTGTTGATTCATGACAACAAATTAAATTTTTATATCTTTATGTTTGAAGCCTGAAATGTGGCGAAATGTTGAAAGGTTCAAGGGGGCCGAATACTTTCGCAAGGTACTGTATATGGGTTTTAAGAGTAAGAGTTTTGTGTAAAGTTTGTTTTAAGCAGTCAACTGCTTCTGTGTAACCACACTGCTACTGTAACCCAAATCTGATTTGCGCATGCGTAGAAACCCGACAGAATGGGGAAAAAACTCGATCTAATTAAATATTTTGTTTGAACACACTATTGTTAATCATATTGAATACAGTATGATACATGCATTAAATTAAATTTATTATTTCCATTATCAACCCGACAGACCAGTCACAGGACGCCTCATCGGCCTACATCAGTAAAATGACGTATGCAGCAGTCAACTCGGAGACTGCTTTCACACAGTGGCAGTGCTTAAAACAAACTTTACACGAAACTCTTACTTTTAAACCCAACACGGAACCATCAACATCTCGCCTCAAATTGCATTAAAGGTGACATTCGCGTCTTAATTCGTTCGTATTTTAACTTTTAAAGCAATTCACGGAATCCTGTCCGCCATCTTTTTTTGCTTCGGCTGACGTGAGACGTACATGGGCAGGTTTGCATTACATCATTGACAGCTGAGGGAGCTCATCTCGACGGGCAGACCAACTCGACAGAACACCGGTTGTGGAACACTGGACCAGCTCGGATACTCAAGGGTTCATGGGAGTTCGGCCAACCTGTCCACATGTGCTTTGTGGATTTGGAGAAGGCGTTCAATCGTATTCCCCGGAATGTCCTTAGGGGGGTTCTCCGGGAGTACGGGGTCCGAGGTCCTCTGCTGAGGGCCGTTTGGTCCCTGTATGGTCGGAGCCAGAGCTGTGTTTGAAATTGCCGGCAGTAAGTCAGACCTGTTCCCGGTGCATGTTGGCCTCTGCCAAGGCTGCCCTTTGTCACCTGTTCTGTTCACTGTCTTTATGGACAGAACTTCTAGGCGCAGCCAGGGGGGCGGAGCAGTTCCGGTTTTGAGACCACAGGATTTCATCTCTGCTGATTGCGGACAATGTTGTCCTGTTGGCTCCAACGAACCATGACCCTCAACATGCACTGGGACTGTTTGCAGCCAAGTGTGAAGCGGCTGGGATGAGAATCGGCACTATTTGAGATTGCGAATATAAACGGTCGAAATTAGCTTCCTCCGCAGAGTGGCTGGGCGCTCCCTAAAGCCTAGCGTACATCGGACTGGCAACTGATTATATCCGTCGCCTCTGAGTTGCTGCCCCGCACTCCAACTCTGAGTCGCAGGCCAGTCTCTTGAATAACAGCGCGTACATCGACAGCAACTGGCCTCAACTACAGTGTGTTTTCTGACAACAAACTGTTGCGGGCGCGCTATACACGCAATACACACACGTTGTCGGAGCGGCGCATGGAGCGCGCACATCGGAGCAACTGAGGACAACTAGTTGCCGAAAAGTAGAACACGGGCAACTGACTGGAACTGGAGACCGACTGATCATCTCCAGTTGTAAGAGCGCGCACATCGACCGATTTCGGCAACTGATCATCTCCCACCATCTCCTCTCAGTTGCCAAAAGCCGCCTTGCAACTAGTTGTCCCCAGTTTCTCTGTCGATGTACGCTAGGCTTTAGAGCCAGGGTGAGGAGCTCAGTCACACGGGAGGAGAGCCGCTGCTTCTCCACGCCGAGAGGAACCAGTTGAGGTGGTTTGGGCATCTCTTCCGGATGCCTCTTGGACGCCTCCCTGGGGAGGTGCTCCGGGCACGTCCCGCCGGGAGGAGGTCCCGGGGAAGACCCAGGACACGCTGGAGGGACTATGTCTCTCATCTGGCCTGGGAACGCCTTGGGGTCCCCCCGGACGAGCTGGAGGAATTGTATGGATAGGGAAGTCTGGGCATCTGCTTAGACTGCTGCCCGGCAACGGATGAAGCAGAAGAAAACGGATGGATGGAATTTAGACTGTTGAATTTAAGCTCTTGAAAAAATATGTATAGAATTTTTTATTTTTTTTAAAATCAAAAATATTATGAAATTGATTATCAATGACTGAAATTCGCAGACAAAATATTCAAGATATTACAAAAATTCTAATAGATGAATTCAGGTCCATAAAATTAAATTTTCAATGGAACAAATAATCCGTCTTTTTTTTATTTGAGGCTTGAAAATAAACATTGAATATTTTGAAGGTGAATATGTCATTTTGAAATTTAATCACATTGAAATTTGTAAACTGAATTTTTGTGACTGAAATGCAAAAACGAAAATATTCAAACATGCTTTTTCTTGGTTAAAAATTTCAAATGGAAAAATTCAAGCTCATTTCAAATTCAAACTCTGATGACACAAAAAATCTTCCATACAGGGGTGTCAAACCGGAGTCTGGTGTGCTTCTGCTCAGGGTCTGGATCTAAAACCTGCAGCCGAGCAGACCCTTTTGGGAATTGGTTTGACACCGGTTTGCTCTAGTGACATTCAATTATGAGTCAAATGCAGAGAGCAAATGAGGACAATAAAGTATACTTAACCTATTACTTTTTTACGTCATTTTGATATTCTGGTTTAGTGTCACTCAAGAGAGAAAACACTTTAATTGATAAACTTGTGGTCAGTCAGAAAGGCCCTTGTGATATTTTCTCGGAGCTGTCTTTTACATGTGCTGTGTTTCGATATAGGAAATGGCCGGAGAAAAGTGTAACGTTTTTTAAAATATGTTACTCCTTATGTTGACAACAAACAAAGTGTGCATATGTGCTCAGCTGTTACTCATAGTAAGTATTGTTAACTTGCTCCTATAATCTGCAATAAATACAATAGAAAAACATGCAGTGACCGCCATCTTGGATTTTTCACAAAGCAGAGACTGTGCTTCAAAAGTGACCTTTTATGAGGCTGAGCAGCTCCAAGTGTCACACTTTGGTGAAATAAAGCTGAGGGTCTCTCTGGCCAGGCGAGTTCTTGGCCTTCAGAGTAAGCCCATAAGTAGAAATAGCCAGAGTCAATAAAGGCATACAGCATACAATTAAACAGAACATGACTTATTTTTGTGTTGATAAACTTAACACACTGATTAATTACATTGCTATCCCATGTAGTTGAGCATAACCTGTTCTAATCAGTTAAAATAAACTGTAAAAGCAGCTTTTGAGGCTTTCGTTTTTCACCGATAACTGCAGGCTTTTGTTGAAATATAGATAGACATTTGATTCTTACAACAGAAATTACTGAGAATCTTGTAATGGTTTTAAATATGCGACTACCTTCTTCCACCGGATAGAATGTTGACTTTCCTACTGGCACTGGTGTCCACTCAGTTTTCACATGTGGTTTTTTACAGATGGAAGCGTTTTGAGGTCCATGACATTGTAATGGAATGTTCTCGTTTGTCTCTGGATCCTCTGGAAGCGTCTAGTGAGGACATGCTTTACTGCTCCTCATCTTCACTCTCCTCTCTGTCTGTCACTGAGGAGACCAGCCCCAACACACAAACCTACCTGCAGGTAACATGCACTCACGCTACTCTTATGATCACAGCATGATTCATGGTATTCTGGGCACCCATGAACATGAAATATCTCTAAATAGCTTGACCCTGTTTCACAAACAAGTTTTAGAAATAGTCAACTTTTAAAGGGACATAAGCCCTTATATATGAAACTTGCGCAGAAAAGGGTGTATATTTTTGGTGTAGATCTCATATACGCAAGATTCAACGCGGGATTTATGAACGTGTGAGATCTGCCCGGATCCGAGCATACGTACAGCAGCTGTTCATAAATGCAGCGGCTGTGTTTATAAAAGTCACGCGTATATGCAGCAACTGCCTGTTTCCCGCCCCGTTTTTACGACAATTGAGAGGAAACGGCAAAGAAAAAAAACGTTCTCTTTGAAAGCAGACGATTGAGACAGTTATGAACGAAGTGTAAAAAAAATAAAGTCTTACTATTTGGAACCCTCAAAAGTGGCATCAAGGGGCTCAAAAAACAAAATATGGAAAGAGATGACAACATCTGTAAACAGCGTGGGGGCTGTAACACGCACTCCTGAAGTTCATTCATGTTTGAAGAAATACGCTATATTATGTCAAACTGTTGACAGATATATTGGGCCAATAGTTAGAATTTGTCAATTTATGCCTACAAGTGAAAAAATATGGAGCGACCTTAAAATGGTTACAAAAAGGTGTTTTGCAGCTCATAAAAGAAATGCCCAGGGGGAGGACTGCCAGACCAAAGCACCCAAAAGAAAATATTAAGTCAAAATTTTTCATGTGATAATTAAGGTTGAATGAGAGCCTGTCTGAGCTTTACAGGCCGAAGGCGGTGCTGGCCATGGTCTCTCATCCAGGGCTGCTCCACCAGTGCCTCCGATGGCACACCGTGGTCTTGTGCCTTGAACCGAGCCAGGACCATGTGGCACCATGTGGCATACCCCCTGCATGCCCCGCACAGCGTCCACGGTGGCGCACGTCTTTGCTTGGACCCGCATAAACCAATTGTCGTTGCGCACTGATTGTTGGTGCCTATTACAATCCACACATTTGTGGGAAACTTTAGAGTTGGACATCTTGCACGTTATTTAATAACACAAACTAGCCCTAACATAACTTTGTAAAATTGTATATTTGTAATGTGAGAGGTGTGCCTATAATCTTGCCAGAGTGGGAATATGTTTATTTTTGTCCAGATCTTGAATTTCATGCATGTTATTTGCGTGTTGAGATGGGTGTATAATGTACACCACCTCCAGACTGGGCGAATATATTGTGCGTACCGTACGTCCACGTCCAGATTGATAAATGCCGAAAAGTGTAATTTTTTTGCGTACGCCTCATTTACACCCTGAGTTTGGGCGTACACAAGTTTCATAAATGAGGGCCATTGTGTGTAAAATAGACAGATGTATGGACCTCAAAGGCCTTGATTGCTGCCTTTACTGATCAAGGCATTGCCCTCTATGCTCATTCCATTGTCCATTAATGTTTCCCCTAATGCAGTGAAGAAAAAACAAAGTGATAATAATAATAATATTCCATGGTGCTTATATAGTGCTTTTCATGACTCCCAAAGACGCATTATTCATTCACTCCATACACAGTGTTTGTAAACTACTGCTGTAGTGAGGCAAAATAAAGGTGATCTCCTGAAGCACCAGGGCTGTGTGCACTTGCTCACATTTTGGTCTTAAGTGAGGACAAACGTGTCTATCTGGTAAACATGGTTTCCTCTCAATGTAACGGAGACACTGGGCCTGCCCAGTTCCTTCCTCCACTGCTTTATCCTGGACCAATCTCGGCTCTTGTTCTCTCAGTCTTCAATTTCAAGGGGGTCCGTGATGATCCAGGACATTAATGAACCCTTGAGTGGCGGACACTTAAATCATGTTTTGCACAGATCGAGACCTCTCCGGCCACGCAGAGGGCTCTGTTTTTCTATACACAGCGCTTTACAGAGAAATATGAATTGGGTTTTACACATTATGTCATTGTTAAATACATGTAACATGGTAAATGTTTGTATCTCTTCACTGTAAATCTGTGTCTCTGCTGAAGGAGCCTGTAGACCTGACATGGAGTCCGTCCTCCCACTGTGGCATGTCCACACCTCCACCTGAGAGACATCCCTCAACGTCTGGCCTCACCCCCTCAACTTCCGGCCCCGCCACTCCTGGCCTGACCCCTACCACCCCAGGTAAATTCACAGTCGGTATGTTTACATGTATCTGCCACCAAATCTGCCAAAGGACAGTTTTCCACAGGTCGCAAAGCTATAATTTAAAAAAAAGTCTTGTGGCTCTTGTAAGGTCTGTATAAACTTCTACAAAGACTTCAGTCAAATTCATGAATAGAAAAACAGAGTTTATATCATGTACTTTGAATACAATGGCATTATTCAATTTCACAAAACGGTTGAAAAGATCCATCCATCCATCCATTTTCTTCCGCTTTATCCGTTGCCGGGTCGCGGGGGCAGCAGTCTAAGCAGAGACGCCCAGACTTCCCTATCCACACACACTTCCTCCAGCTCGTCCGGGGGGACCCCAAGGCGTTCCCAGGCCAGCTGAGAGACATAGTCCCTCCAGCGTGTCCTAGGTCTTCCGCGGGGCCTCCTCCCGGTGGGACGTGCCCGGAACACCTCCCCAGGGAGGCGTCCAGGAGGCATCCGGAACAGATGCCCGAGCCACCTCAACTGGTTCCTCTCGACGTGGAGAAGCAGCGGCTCTACTCCGAGCTCCTCCCGTGTGACTGAGCTCCTCACCCTATCTCTAAGGGAGCGCCCAGCCACTCTGCGGAGGAAGCTCATTTCGACCGCTTGTATCCGCGATCTCGTTCTTTCGGTCATTACCCAAAGCTCATGACCATAGGTGAGGGAGGGAACGAAGATTGACCGGTAAATCGAGAGCTTTGCCTTTCGGCTCAGCTCCTTCTTTACCACAACAGTCCGATACAGCGACCGCATCACTGCGCACGCTGCACCGATCCGCCTGTCAATCTCACGCTCCATTCTTCCCTCACTCGTGAACAAGACCCCGAGATACTTGAACTCCTCCACTTGAGGAAGGACCTCTCCACCCACCTGAAGAGGGCAGGGCACCTTTTTCCGGTCGAGCACCATGGCCTCAGATTTGGAGGTGCTGATTCTCATCCCAGCCGCTTCACACTCGGCTGCAAACCGTCCCAGTGCATGCTGCAGGTCCTGGTTCGTTGGAGCCAACAGGACAACATCGTCCGCAAACAGCAGAGATGAAATCCTGTGGTCCCCGAACCGGACCCCCTCCGACCCCTGGCTGCGCCTAGATATTCTGTCCATAATTACAGTGAACAGAACCGGTGACAAAGGGCAGCCCTGTCGGAGGCCAACATTCACCGGGAACAGGTCTGACTTACTGCCGGCAATGCGAACACAGCTCTGGCTCCGGTCATACAGGGACCGGATGGCCCTCAGCAGAGGACCCCCGACCCCGTACTCCCGGAGAACCCCCCAAAGGACACCCCGGGGAACACAGTCGAACGCCTTCTCCAAATCCACAAAGCACATGTGGACAGGTTGGGCGAACTCCCATGAACCCTCGAGTATCCGATGGAGAGTATAGAGCTGGTCCAGTGTTCCGCGACCGGGACGAAAACCACACTGCTCCTCCTGGATCCGAGATTCGACCATCGGCCGTAGCCTCCTCTCCAGTACCTTGGAGTAGACCTTACCGGGGAGGCTGAGGAGTGTGATCCCACGATAATTGGAACACACCCTCCGGTCCCCCTTCTTGTAGAGAGGGACCACCACCCCGGTCTGCCACTCCATTGGCACCGCCCCCGATCGCCACGCGATGTTGCAGAGACGTGTCAGCCAAGACAGTCCTACAACATCCAGAGACTTTAGATAATCAGGGCGGATCTCATCCACACCCGGAGCCTTGCCACCATGGAGGCTACCAACCACCTTGGTGACCTCAGCCAGGGAGATGGATGTATCCGCCCCAACATCCTCAGCCTCTGCCTCTGAAACAGAGGACGTGACGGGGGGATTGAGGAGAACCTCAAAGTATTCCTTCCACCGCCCGACAATATCCCCAGTCGAGGTCAGCAGCTCTCCACCCGCACCGTACATGGTGTTGGCAAAGAACTGCTTCCCCCTCCTGAGGCGCCGGACGGTTTGCCAGAATTTCTTTGAGGCCGACCGATAGTCATGCTCCATGGACTCTCCGAACTCCTCCCAGTCCCGGGTTTTTGCCTCTGCAACAGCCCGGGCCGCGGCACGCTTGGCCTGCCGGTACTGGACAGCTGCCTCAGGAGTCCCCCGAACCATCATGGCTCGATAGGACTCCTTCTTCAGCCTGACAGCATCCCTTACTGCCGGTGTCCACCACCGGGTTCGGGGGTTGCCGCCGGGACCAGCACCAGAGACCTTGCGACCACAGCTATGAGCCGCCGCATCGGCGATTGAGGCAGAGAACATGGTCCACTCGGACTCCATGTCCCCCTCCTCCACCGGGACCTGGGAGAAACTCTCCCGGAGGTGTGAGTTGAAAGTCCGTCTGACAGGGGGCTCAGCGAGACGTTCCCAGCAGACCCTCACTATACGCTTGGGTCTGCCAGGTCTGACCGGCTTCTTCCCCTGCCAGCGGATCCAACTCACGACCAGGTGATGATCGGTTGACAGCTCCGCCCCTCTCTTTACCCGAGTGTCCGAGACACGCGGTCGAAGGTCAGATGATACGACAACAAAGTCGATCATCGACCTCCGGCCTAGGGTGTCCTGGTGCCACGTGCACTGGTGGACACCCTTGTGCTCGAACATGGTGTTCGTGATGGACAAACTGTGACTGGCACAGAAGTCTAACAACTGAACACCGCTCGGGTTCAGATCAGGGGGGCCGCTCTTCCCGATCACCCCTCTCCAAGTGTCACTGGCGTTTCCCACATGGGCGTTGAAGTCCCCCAGGAGAATAACGGAGTCCCCGGGCGGTGCACCGTCCAGTACCCCTCCCAAGGACTCCAAGAAGGCCGGGTACTCTGCACTGCTGTTAGGCCCGTAGGCCGTCACAACAGTGAGAGACTTATCCCCCACCCGGAGGCGGAGGGACGCGACCCTCTCATTCACCGGGGAGAACTCCAACACGTGGCGGCTGAGATGGGGGGCAATGAGAATGGCCACCCCAGCTCGCCGCCTCTCCCCGCGGGAAACACCAGAAAAGTGGAGCGTCCAACCCCTCTCAAGGAGTTGGGTTCCAGAGCCCAAGCTGTGTGTGGAGGTGAGGCCGACTATCTCTAGTCGGTATCGCTCAACCTCCCCCACGAGCTCGGGCTCCTTCCCCCCCAGTGAGGTGACGTTCCACGTCCCAAGAGCCAGCTGTTGTGTGTGCGGACTGGGTCGTCGAGGTCTCCGCCTTCGACTGCTGCCCAGTCCTCTCTGCACCGTTTCGCCACCACGGACCCCTCTGCGGGTGGTGGGCCCACAGGAGGGACTGCCCACGTCGTCCATTCGGGCTGAGCCCGGCCGGGCCCCGTGGGCTAAGGCCCGGCCACCAGGCGCTCGCCTACGAGCCCCGACCCCAGGCCTGGCTCCAGGGTGGGGCCCCGGCTGCGCCATGCCGGGCGACGTCACTGATTTCTTTTGAGTGCTGTCCATGGTGTCTTCTGGACTGCTCTTTGTCTGACTCGTCACCCGAGACCTGTCTGCCATGGGAGGCCCTACCAGGGGCATGAAGCCCCAGACAGCATAGCTCCCAGGATCATCCGAGTACTCAAACTCCCCCACCACGTTAAGGTGGCAGTCCAGGGTTGAAAAGATATCTAACTTATTTTATGGGTTATTTTCTCAATGATGTGTTTTGAATCCTCTTCTGTGGCAGCTGATGGTAAATGGTTCCATACAGGTATATATAACATTCACTGAGATGCAGAGGTCAAGTCTACATTATGGGTTTCTGAGTCATCCAGGCCAGCCCTGGACCGGTGTTAATTTATACATTTGGTGCTGATCTAATTGTCAACGACAATTGACACAAGTGGACGGAAGAAATGGACCACATTTTGTCTCATCGCTTTGCTTGTCATTCCGCTTCAAGACTCAAGTGCCGTGTTAGCCTGGGGCCGTATTCCTAAAGATTCTTAGTGCTAAAAGTTGCTCCTAGTTGCTACTCTTAGAATTTCCCTTAAAAGTGAGGAGCAGATCCTATTTAATAAAAAAGCTATTCCTAAAGAATCCTAGCTCTTAAGAGTGCTCCTAAGGTGAGATCCCTTAAGAGTTGAGAGGAGGACTTTTAGCGACTTAAAAGTTCTCTAACAGGACAAAATGGTGGACGGTAGAGGCAGGAGAAATATTCTATACGCTGGATGACAGTGAATCAGTGAAACGCTGCAGATTGAGTCGTGCAGGAATCATGTTTTTGGTATATTTAAAAGTCAATCATGTGACCAGCTTCCTATTGGCTGGTCAGCAATAACAACTCATCCATTTTACCCTTGTTACACGAAAGTGAGTAGAAATGGTAAAAGTTGAAAGAGAAAAAATGACCAGCATGGTAATTAATAAAAGCAAGTAAATATAACTTATTGTGTTAATACTTTGCAAGTGGGCCTACATTTTCACACATTCAGTATGAATACTTTATTTCGAGCCATGGCAAACAAGAGCAAAGGACAACAACAAACAAAACAACAGCAGAATAGAAAAAGTACAAATATACAGTTTTGTTTTATTAACAACAATCCAGCTCAAAAAGGAGTGACTTTTTAACTCCCACTCTCTATTTATCATTCTAAATTAACTTAAATGATTTGGTTGCTACCGCTTAGTTAATGCTCTTGATTTGTACAGTGTATGTCTAATATGTTTATATTAATATTGACCTTGACTTGTACAGTGTATGTCTAATATGTTTTACCTAATTGTTTTCTTAATTCCTTATAATTATAATAATTGAGATGACAGGCGGATCGGTGCAGCTGGTGCGCAGTGATGCGGTCGCTGTATCGGACCGTTGTGGTAAAGAGGGAGCTGAGCGAAAGGCAAAGCTTCAATTTACCGGTCAATCTTCGTTCCCTCCTCACCTATGGTCATGACCTTTGGGTAATGACCGAAAGAACGAGATCGCGGATACAAGCGGTCGAAATGAGCTTCCTCCGCAGAGTGGCTGGGCGCTCCCTTAGAGATAGGGTGAGGAGCTCAGTCACACGGGAGGAGCTCGGAGTAGAGCCGCTGCTTCTCTACGTCGAAAAAATGGCGGGAATATCGAACTTCGTACAGGAGTTCACAGAAGAAAAAGGCCCCAGGTAAAAATTCTAATCAACATTTTAAGAATGAAATAAACATTTATTTAAGCACAATAATGTATCTAAGTTTCATATGGAGTTTTGAAATTTGACATTTTTAGGTGATATGAAGTAAAGCAGGCTAGGATGCAGTAAAAGTAGGAAGCACTTCGTTTTGAGGACTGCTAGTGACTATGAACAGTAAGGATGCCGTCAGCAGAAGAAGGAGTCCTAACGAGCAATGATGTTTGTGGACACCTGAGGCAGCTGTCCAGTACCGCGAGGCCAAGCGTGCGCGCGTGCCCGGGCTGTTGCAGAGGCAAAAACCCGGGACAGGGAGGAGTTTCGGAGAGTCCCAAGGAGCCAATGACTATCACGTCCCGGCCTCAAGAAAATGTACTGGCAAACCGTCCAGCGCCTCAGGAGGGGGAAGCAGTTCACTTTGCCAAACACCTATGTACTAATGACCTCGAGAACTGGGATATTGTAACCCTAACCCAGAGATGTGGCCTGAAAACCCGCATGCGTAGCAGAGCCAAGACTGGGCAATTGAAACTCCTGTGTCCGATGCATGACATGCAATGTGTACCTGTGCTTGGCAAAATGAACGCTACTGCATTGCACATTTCACACATTGCCAATAGGCTCCTTCCAAACAGGCAGACAGATTGCATGCTAGAAAAAGAGAGGGAGCTAGTTTACAAAAAGCCCCGGTTTCAAAAGCTGTTCAGCAGATTTGTACTGTTTTAGGATGTTTAATAATATTTGCCATTAATTGTTGCTAGTATTGTATTTATCAAACACATACTAATCGCGTTATCGTTTTTTTCTCAACAACTACATCCGTACAAAATCACAGTTTAGTATTATACTTATCTGGTCCTACTTATCCTAAATAGCAAAAAAATATATAAAATAAACAACCAGACAAAGAAACGCTCGGACTCAGGAGGTTTTAAAGAGAAAATGACATCACACCTTCCTCTGTGTGTGTGTGTGTGTGTGTGTGTGTGTTTGTGTGTGTGTCCTTACTCAGGGTCCTGTGGATTCCCTCCTTATATGTCCTGAGCTCCAGAGTCCATCCTCCAGTTTCACTTCTGCCATGGTATCCAGCTGGGTTTAGCTCCTTTAGCGCCTGTTAGCGCCTGATAGGCACCTGTTACTCCTGTTATGCTCCTGTTAGCCTGTGGTGATAATGCCGTCTCTTTTTAGATTATTAGACTCTCTGCCCCTCTTGTTACTCTCGTCCACTGTTAGCTCTCAGCTGTTGGTCGCAGCATTGTAAGAGCAGGATAACCCGTTGCAACACGCACCATTCACGAGGAAAACAAACACAACACATCAGTCTCTTTGACTCAAACACACGCGATCAAGCGCACCGCGTGATTTATGCATAAAACACAATGCAAACTTCCGTTGACCCTTCAGTGTAAGAGCATACACACATATCCAGACACCTTTCAAGGCAACTCCCCCACTCTCTCTTAGCACTGTCCAAAAAAAAACACAGGCATATTTACATTCACATCACATCTACATTTAACATACATAGAAAATGTGAGAACTTCTAACTTTGCTCACCTGAGTTTAGTCATTACATCAGCTGCCAATGTCTGCTGATTGCACAATATACAACATTTAAAAGTATTCTCTTTATTGCAGAATGAATGAAATGGAAATCGAATAACAATATGTTTACCATCTTTGTCGTTAATAGGGTTATAGACATGCTATTGCCAGCTCCAGGTTATCTGCATACATGGTAACCGGTAAATATTGTTTCTCAGAGTCCACCATTTGAGTAGTTTGTCGAGAGTAAAAACATGTACTGTGGCGGCCACGCCATGTACTGTGCCTCACACGTTGACAAAGCTACTGTAGAGTCCTTTCTACTTTTCCATCATATAAAAGAGGGTCCCCTCTCAGAGAGTGTAAAACAGTCCCCTGTCGTCTACTCCTGTCCAACACAAATCTGTGTCTTCTGCATCACTGTCCTGCTAAAGACTGAGATTACCCTATGTCTTTCTATACACATAACTCACATGTTTTGCTTCGCTGCTGTCCCATGATGTTCTTGTTGGTGCAGAACCATATTGTGACAGTTTACTCCTAATCCAACTTTAATCTGTCTTGTACATGTCATTAAATAAAATCAGAATCAGCCCCACTAGTTCGTCTGATCTACCAGAATCTACTAGTTCAACCTTCTAAATCAAATTTGTTTCAGCTCACAAGGAGTAGAACGTGGCTTACCAGTCTGTCCATGTTAAATCTTTCAGTGATTTTGTTAAGACCTTTGTTTGATTTAGTTTTTAATTCCTAGTTGGTCTAGTGTCCAGTCAGATCCCCCAGAAATGTTTTTAAAGCTCACACCATTATGATCATAACCATG